TTATGTTGTGGGAAAGTTGATCGTGAATCATTCACAAGGTTGTTATTTGCGCCACCTGGCGTTGAAAAAATAAAACTACGTTGGAATGAAACCAAGCAGAAAAAGATTAAAACATTAAGATTAACACGTACCTTTTTGATCTCAGGGGAGCAAAAAAAAAAGAATATAATTAATATAAAGCAACTTCTGTAAATTGCTGTCTCAACAGCACCAGTTTTTATTCTATAACTATGAAATTCAGTTAAGGGGTAAGTGCCTTGGCCACTCTTTTACTGTGTGTCGCACATCTTAATAGCAAAAGGCATCCTCAGTTTGCCTACTGGTGACTTGTACATTCTGGAATTTCCTGATGATCACAAAGATCTCAACAACAAACCACATAATAAATAAGCAAGATCAAAGCACGTGTGCCGCTGGTCTTCACAGAGCACGTTTATCTGAAAGGTTTACCAGTAAACCATGTTAGTGAATCGGACTGGAAAACTGAGAGCTTGATGATTAAGTACCTCAGGGAGAAAAAAAAACAGTTAACAAAGGTGCTTGATAGTGTGCGCATGAAAGCTTTCCTCCAGTTAAAAGGAACACTGTGTATAGGCAAGTTTCTGAAGGAAGTGACTTATTAACCACGACACTGTACTACTGCATGCTGGCAGCTGGCTTTATGGATGGGTCGTGACCTTATGCTGTGTTTTCTTTTGAAGTTGCTGCTGAAACATGCTTTTTCTCTGGCTGATGTCACGGAAGTTGCAATCATCATTCATGCGCATGCATGTTTCTTAAAATTATTTTAAAATTATATTTGAACAGCCTACCACCTACCAGCCTTAAATGCAGCACCACAAGGCTGGGATATTTTAACACTGCTACCTTTCTGGCATCAAACAAAAGTAGTATGCACTCCTTAATCACTTACACATAAAGTGGTTTTCTGCGGGGGGGGGGGGGTGTTACGTTGTTCTCTGACCAGGAATTTTTGGACCTTTTTGCTGGACTATACTACTCCATGAAGCTATGATGAATTGTATTAGAGCCTGATGATTGTTGGGGCACTGCTGTTGTACCTTTGAATTTGAGGTTGTGTCTGTGATGAGAGCACATTGGAGGGCCACATGTGCAAAGGCACAGAAAATTGACCTATACAAAATGAAGGATTATACGGAGATATACTAGACAGCGAAAATGCCGATGACTACCTTGGCAGTTTTACCTGCGACAGTGATGCATTAGCTGAATACAGAGAATTTATGGCTGAAGTTATATATCAAATTTTTCATCCATCCATCATCCAACTACTATCCAAGGATTTTATGTAGGTAGACTAAATAGCGAAAATACCCATATCTACCTTGGCAGTTCCAGTCACAAACAGTCATGATAAGACACGTTTCAGTTGACACTACTAGATCTAATCAGTGCTTCAGCTGGAAAAAGGGTTTCTTGGTGCTTCTCCCTATAAGAATCCCAGACCAGGGAAGGCAGAGTTGCCTGCGTCGATGGAAACACCAGAAGGCATGCTGAAATCCAATCCAATTCAATAAAGCAGAACGCAAGATAGTTCTGCTTGTGAAAACAGTTTACAGTAACAAAGGGGTTCAGCTGTAATTAGAGCCAGACGTGTCTTCACTTGTGACCCAAATGAAGCACAAAGGCATTTTTTTGTTCTGAAACATTAGCCCATACAGTTAGAGGCAAAAGAGTAGACAGAGAGATTTCTTCATGAAGTTCAGTAAGAAAGAATGACTGTCAGTGAGTCACAGCGGTTCATGGAGTAAAATGTACAGCTGGAACAATGTATATATGAAACGGCATCATTAAGAGCAGCCGTGGACGGAATGTGCTCTCTCTGTTTACTGGTAGAAGGATGGAAAAGTAAAACTCAGCATTGGGGGACAATCCCAGCTACTTCTGAATATCCCTTTAATTATGGGCCTTTTTCATTATCCATGAGAAGAAAAGAGAAAGTTGCACAAAAGAATTATTAAGAAACGGACGGATTACCTCAACTCTGGCAAATGGTGTTAAGCATCTATAACATTCTTCCGACGACGAAAAAAAGCGTAGAAGTGTGTGGGGAACAGTGATGGCCACCTAGGGCTGCAAGACACTGCGAATCACAACCTACCGAAGTACACAGTGTACCAGTGTGACCCCCCCGACCCCGCGGAATGGCAAGCCTGTCCGCCTGCATTTGTTAATTCCACACAAACAGCTTCTCATACAGAGGGGCGGCAGGCCCACCTACTCTGACTGTCCCTTGGTGTTTTCATTCTGCTGCTGCACTGGTGTGGAAACGAGTGTGTGTTTACTGAGCAGTGCGTCCACATGGTAATGAGCAGCCCTGTTTGTTTTTCCTCTGGGATCGGCCAGAGGAGACCAGAATTCGCAGAAAGAAACAGAAAAAGAAAGAAAAGCAGAGGCAATAGGAACAGCAGACCGATGATAGCTCTCCGTGCCTGATATCTCCCATCCTGAAAAAACGATCGTCTTTAATGACACAGCGCATTGAGCTGAAAACTGAGGAACATTCTTAATCATTACATCCTACTAACAATTAGGATGTGATTCACTACAGCTGCTTTGTCAGACACTAAGGTTGCCGATTCGACCCCCAGGGCCAGCAGACTGATGCCGCTGTTGGGCCCTTGAGCAAGGGCCCTTAACCCCCAATTTCTCCAGGGTCACTGGACACTGGCCAACCCTGCACTGTGACCCTCAGATGCTCACCTGCATATGTGTCTGATGGAACGCAAGATGGTGTAGGCGAAAAGAGAATTTCTCCATGGAGATGAATAAAGTATCTTTATTCTATTCTATTCTATTACAGATGAGTGTATGCAGTTTGTGGCTCTGTGAGTTAGGGATTTGTGCCTCCTATCCAAAGGTTGCTGTTTCAAATCCTGTGACTGGCAAAGTAGTTTCACTGTTTGGCTCTTGTGCAACATACTTAACCCCAACTGCTCCAGAGACTCACTGTTCCTGCTGTCGCACTTGTGTGTTGCCTTATATATAAGTGTCTGATAAAAAGAAAGGGGTGTATAGATTGGCATATTCGCAGGTGTAATGCTTTCTCCATAAACGTTTTGTTTCTAGGCCCTGGTTCTTGTCCATTCCACCTTCTTGCACGTGTAAGAGCGCAGCCTGCTGAGAATACACTACCGTGATAGTGCTGTTCACAATAGACCACCTGTTTACTTGTAGTGGCAGCCTATGACCACAACGCTGAGGAGCAAGGCCACGCCCACCTGCGCTGGGATTTGTTAGCCAAGTCAGGCTCAGGTGTAGCTAAGCACATTCTGTATGGTTTTTATTTTTGAGCTGTTTTTAATGACTTTTTGAGTTCAAAGGGAGTTTTTATATTTAAAACCAGAAAACTAAATATTCAGTCCCTGTTGACCTGCCTCCGGTCAAAAAAGGGAATTAATATTTTTACAATATAAGTGCTATCATTTTAGACCTAAAAGTCCACAGTCACAGATAATCACATTTACAGTAACTGGGATAGTCAATCAGCTCAAAGTTTTCACCCACTGCCACAGGAGAGTGGGCAGATGCATTCGTCATTCAACAATTGATCCCATATAACGATAAACCCACAGAACTGTAAAAACAAGATTTTGCATTCGAAGTGGTGGCCTTTCTCTCCGTGAAGAATTCAGGGAATGTCTGTAATTTCCCATTGGGGAGTTATGTGGTTCATGTTGTGATGAAATGGAAAACTAAGAGGTTTAAGTCAAGGGAATTGTGTGGTGCCAATTACAATTACAGCAAAAAAACTCAATGCCAAGGTCACAGGTTACAGAGCTTTGATTAATTTTTTTTCAGTTTATGAAACTCATCCCAGTTTGATTAGTTATGAATTTTAAAAATAAGGGAAAAAAACTCATCTAATGTGAAAGATCAAGAATTCTGTTAACCCTTCCAACAGTAACTATACTACAACCGCAGACTGTATGTATACTGTAGTATGTATACTACTCCTGGAAATGAATAGATTAATAATGATTGCAAAGCAAAGGACTCCCTGAGCAACTGCTCAATCGACACAAAGTCAAACCAGCGGGACCCAAGGATTCTCAGAAGAGACACGGTATCAAAGGAGTCCAGTCTTCATCGCAGGTCACTGGATAGTGTCCATGTCTCTCAGGTCACTGGATAGTGTCCATGTCTCTCAGCCACACAGCAAGACAGGAAGCACCAGGACAATTAATAAAATAATTGTTACCACTTTACTATAAGGCTTCCTTTTGCACTTATATACGGCAGTAACTCATTAATAAAAAGAAAACTCATAACTTGTTTATAATTCTTTATTAATAATTTACAAAGTGTTACAGCCTAATTAATAATCAGATTATTAACCATTCAGAAGCCTCTATAAAGGTAGTCCTATTGTAAAGTGGTACCTAATAATTTAATAGTTAGGCATTCACTCTCCTGAGTCAGCACTGAGTGGATTTCTAAACGCACCTTACTGTTGTGAGTTGTGTCCATTCTTCTAGCTGATATTTCTCAATCATTTGCCAGGGAATAATTGATAGGGATAGATGAAAAAATCACTGATTTTCTATCCTTTGGAGATGTGGCCTTCAAGTCAGGACATGGACTTGAAGAAGGTTCCTAATTAAAATATGCTTCCTTTAGGAGTAATACACAAAAACGTTGATAAACACCAGTAATCAGACTGAGCAGAATGAGGTCAATGGTGAAGCAGTACGTGTATTTTGCAGGTATTTATTAAGAAAAACCTGGATAAAATATAAATACTCCATCATATAAATATGATGGTGTATTATATAATAGCAAGAGAATCATCCATTCAAACGCAAACGTATGAGAGGAACACAAAACACACAGTGAAAGTAATGAAGGCACCTGTGAAAGCGAGGCCTGTTGTTATTGCCCGTGTGCTCTGGCCCAATCCCAGAGGGCTGTCAATACCAAGCAGAGGGCTGTAATTAAGACGGGTGCTTTTGCACTGTGCTGGTAGGAGAGCTTTGTGGTCCTTGTGGCTGGCCTGGTGGTGTCTCTGCTGGCTTCCCATTACAGCCCGGGGGGCTTGGTGCCTTTTAAACACAGCAGGGTAATAATGAACAATGCCTCTAAATAACACGGGACGTCCAGCACAGAAGTCGTCTACATCAATGAGCAGAAGGTGATCGCCCAGAGACTGCACTTAAATCTACAGTGACCAGTGAGTGTTGCCTGAGGAAGGTCTGCTCTTGTAGCCTTTCATCAATCAGGTAAACAACCTCAAGGTCAATTTTAAACTGATAAATCATTTCTACAGCAACGGTGGATAATTACACAAATACACTGCCCTGCTCCCAAAACTGTGGCTTTAACCAAGGTAAGTTGTGTCAATTTATCTTATTGACAGGTATAACTTAGAGACTTAAAATGGGCAGTTATTTCTTGAAATCGATTTGTCTACGTTATATAAATGTAAAGCAAACTCAACTCTTTATTTCAGTGATCTTTTTATTTGTATAAATTCTATTAATCTACAAAATGTTTCTAAATGGGCTAAAATGCAAAGTACCGTTACATTCTTATTGCTGATGCTTTTTTTTTTTTTTAACATACATTCACTTATAATTTAACCATTTAGAGAGATGTATATTTCACTAGAGCAGGGTGTCTACAAGGACCTGAACCACCAACTAGTAACTATGGCCAGGGGCAGACTGGCAACAAAAAAGTACCCCGGGAATATTCCCCTGGGTATAATTTACCACTGACCTAGGGGGAGGGGGGGAGGTTGTCCCAACTGGTTAGCCACTAATGATATAAAGCATTTTATATCGTTTACATATTTTAGCGATCGACCTGGAAACACGCCAAGATGATCGATGGCCGGGTTGGACACCCCTGGTATACAGGCTATGCGATGCTGCGGTTGAGGAAGAAAAAGCGGCTCTCATCAGACTGGCCCGCTTGGAAACGCGCTGTCCGCCCCTGACCATGACACCGCCTGTTCAAGTACGCCGTCATTTAATACGAGGAATTAGAGACAGCGAAGCCATAGATGCTGAATGTTCAGTTTCTTCCTGCAACAACGTAAAATTTGCTGAGTACAGAGAATTTATGGCTGTTATACATCAAATTGTTCATCAATCCATCATCCAACATCCAACGTCATATGCACTACAGGGCTGAACACGCCCGGAACATTTCCCAGTAAGCACAGGGCACAAAGAAAATGTTTTCCCAGAATAGTATGTTAGTCCATTGTCCAGAACTCACAGGTAATACTGTGTCTATTAAAACACCATTCCGCCGGTTGTTTTTTTAGTCGTTTGTTTGTTACTGGGAGAGCATGAGGCTGTGCTTGTAATTGAAGCACCGGTTCATTACAGCAAAAAAAGAAAAGAAAAAAGAAAAATCATAGTACTGCAATTGACTGATTTATTTTTTCCCAGAACAATTCGTCCCGATGAACACTATTCGACAAAGTCTTCTGGTTGCAAAGGGAATGTCCACCAGGCAGCAAACCTTAGCGATGAGCTGACACCAGTCGGTAAGACGCACACCCGGCAGTAACCGACCCGATATCGCCATCTGGCGGTCTAGTCCAGCCACAGCTTTTGTGTATTTGATGGGAAAATTTCCTCCTAAACGTTTGTCTGTCTGTTCTTCGTCCACAAGGAACAGTACAAACAACTTGGGCAATATAAAAATGGACGAAAGCAAAGCTAAATTTATTTTAAACCCAATTCTGGGTAGGCGAAGTGAGTATTCCGTATGAATGTCTAAAGTAAGTAATAAATGCACATAAAGGAAATAATTACAGTAAATATAATTACAGAAATAACTATAGATATTGTAGTGGGAAAATAAAAAATAACGCTAATAGTTTAACTATTAAGTTAAGTCGCGCAACAGGTTATGTACCACATGATATCGGACAAGGGTCAAAATCCACCAACGTAATGGAAACCGACCAGGCACAATTTGTTGGTAAGACTATAGGTGCATTTTGAAAAAACTGTTCAATACAATGAAACACGTTTGAGTTAAAGTTCTGCTCCACCTTTGTACTTTATTGTGAAGCTGTAAAATAGAAAGAAAAATAATTTGTTAGGTACATTTCTAGTCATTTTTATACACGGTTCCAAATTGCATTTACAAAAGTATTTAATTCAAATGAAAACTAAACCAAAAGTTTGGCCTAGGTGGTGAAAAATCTTATTGGTATATTTGTTCTTCATGTTCATCAGTGGATTACTATCCAGTCGATCTTCCTCTGGATTACCGCACCTTGAGGATAAGTGCAGAGAATTTCTTGTCATGTTTGGAATTTAACTCAATCCGCGAAAATTATTTTCTTCTGCCGAGTGGTGAAAAGGTAAGTGAATTTACGTGAGCAATTTATTTTGAGCGAACGTTACCTGACGCATAGCACGCTGGACTAGTGTGACCTCATCCGTCCAGGGTTTGGCTAGGTCAGTCCTGCATCTGTTCTGTGTGTGTGTGTTTGTGTGTGTGTTGGGGGAGGGGCGTGTTAAGGTTAGGGCTGGGTAGGGGTTACGGTCGTCATGTTGGAATTAGAGTTTTCCCCATAGAAATTAAATCAAAGATATAGTTACCGTGCGTGTGTGTGTCTGTGTGCTTCCTGGCATCCCATCCAGAGTGCACCCCTGTCATGTGATCTGTACTGGCTGGAATAGGCTCCAGGCCCCCAGTCACTGGTTAGAAGGTAGATCCATCATTGCCTGAATAGTTCCCTGTCACATTTATTTTGCCTTAGGATTGCTGGGGTCCTCGTTCATAAATAGATTTATGATGAAAGTCAAAGTTCTGTATTCAACCCTCACAGATTACAGTAACGCAGGACAGTGTGTGTCAGCTTCCACTCTTCAGTGATGATGACCCAGCGTGCGTGGTTTTGGCTCTGCACTTGCCTGAGGACCAAACACACGGTGAGCAGCTTGCCAGACCCGCCGGCCAGTTGTGGTCAGGTCTTCTCCCATGTTCTGTTCTTTCAAGCAAGCAGTAAGTCAGCTGCTGTCCTTTGCTGTGAAGAAATGTTTTTCTCCCCTGCAGTGCTTGCACTGTACCTGGCTGGGAGATGGTGGGCCCTGAACGATATCTTAAAAACATCCAACTCGTCCAGGTCCGGGCTGATGCTGGTAAATCCTTACTCAAGACATCCTGATTTACACTTAAATAACATTGGCGTTAATCTCTGTCAGCGAATGCTAATCCATGCGTATCTGACAAAATCAAGCACACTGGGACACTTCAAGTCATAGCAGTGAATAAAGAAAACAATCTTACTTAGTATTTCCATGACAAGGCCATTGCTTTGTCTTTGGATTGATTTTGTCTATGCGGCAAGTTTATGTATAACATGTGTGATGTGGGTTCAACAGGTTCAGTCTGCTGAGGAAAGACTGGTGCTCTTTGTGCTCAGTCAGATCATTTTTGGGACTTTGGAGCGACCCATAAGTGAGACCATTTACTTTAGCCCTCACCCGGTAAAGGAAACCGGCAAAATTATCTGGGTTAGTGGGGAGGCCGTCGGCTTCTACACGATCAAGGAGAAAGGTGAGAGAATCTGGTTTAAAAAAAAACCAAAGATGTATTCATATAGATGCGTAGTGCGTAAAGATACATACGAGATAAGATCGACTATAAACCTCCTATCCACAAATGTAGGGCCTGACTGATTTTAATGCCAGGGGGCGATGCAATGAATGATATGGTCCAACCATGAAACCAGTTTATAACGATGCACCACAAATAGGAGAAAATAATAAAATAGTGCCATTAAGCATCAGGTAAAATAGTTTTTTTATGAGTTTGTCTGGAATATGGTTCTTTGCAGTCAATGTTCAGGATTTATTGTAAGACACAATCAGTGTAAAGTTAATTGATTATTTATAATTTCCCTACATTTTCTGTGTGTAAGAACTGATGAATAATCACTAACTATTTCAGCAGTGTTCTGCAATGTACACACAGTTTGCCGGCGTGTAACATGTGAGCTCTCATTGGGGACCGAACATGGTCTTCTGCAAAAACAAAAGCAGCCCACACAAGCAGCCAGCCACAAATGAGGTGCTTACTGAACTACAGCGGGTGACATAAACATTGAAACAGACCCATATATCCTTATCTGTACTGAATATTTGTGATTACTTATCATATTGAGATCTTAAGCCAACTTCCTTATAGGGCTTGGATGGGAGAGTTACTTAGTTCAATGTCTGACACACATTAGTTCAGCTGAATATGGCTGTTTAAAGGTTCCACGTAGCATGGGGAGCTCCTGGTGGTGGCATGGTGGTTAATGACATACCATCATAACCTGAAGGTTGCTTGCTGAAATCTTAGAAGGTCCCTGCTGTAGTCTCTGCTATAGTCCCTGCTGTAGTCCCTGCTATAGTCCCTGCTATAGTCCCTGCTATAGTCCCTGCTGTAGTCCCTGCTATAGTCCCTGATATAATCCCTGCTGTAGTCCCTGCTGTAGTCCCTGCTATAATCCCTACTGTAGTCCCTGCTATAGTCTCTGCTATAGCTTCTGCTATAATCCCTGCTATAGAATCCTTTGTTATCTTACTTCAGTATGATATCCAGCTATAAATTGGTAGCGAATTTAACATTTTGTATAAAAGTGTCAGATTAGTGTCTAAATCTCTCTGCAATGGTTCCCATACAAGACTGTGCTTATCTAAACAATACCAAACTGTGTCATTTATTATTTTATACACATAGGATAGTTTACTCTTTCTCTCCATTTCTCTCCCTGTATATGCCTCCATGTAGGCAGGCTGTGTGACCGATATACAGCTCAGTGCTACCTGCTGCCTGTACTGGACACTGTATTTGTCCGAAGCTCGTGGAGAAGGCAGGGCTTTGCGCTGAGGATGCTGGGAGATTTCTGTTCATCATTCTCCAATGAGAGAGTGGTGGGCATCAGCTACCCTGTATCAGCTGACATGTACCAGGGTGAGTGCGGAAGATTCCAGAGCCAGAACCTCACAATCAGACACAGTCCCTCTCTTGGGTCACATGGGGTAGGTTTGTCTGAGCTGCATGCAGTGAAACTGTTAATCAAAGCTGTATGATTCATATGGAACAACTAACCAAAAAGTGCAACTCATATATTTGCATGATTTCTAAGATAAATAGATTGCTGATATGAGAAACATCAAAGATATAGTTTATAGTTTCCTGCACAGTGCTTAAGTCAGGAGTAGATCTGAACCTGGAGCAGTGAAGAACAGCAAAGGCCTAGTCCAGGTTCTTCAACCTTGAATACCTTTCTATTACTTTGTTTTAGACTCTAGTCCTTGACTGAGGCAGATGATCATGTGGAAGGGAGGAAAGATTATTCTGTTAAGTTTCTGGTCCGGTGATTCACACAGTTGTTCTCCCTGCTATGAATAAGGGTGGGGAAGTGTTTCTTTTGAAACATCTCATGTATTACTGTTATCTCTGTGAACTAAGACACAAAGAATTTTTACTACATCATCACTGTCAGGGATAAAAGAGAAAAGGCTGTTACCAGGATATTCCCTGCAGCTCCAAGCATGGATGGACATAGTTTATTAACAAAACCACTATTACTGCTTCTTTACTTTTAAATCATTCTCCATCCACATACCCCAAGAGCAAAGTTAAGTGAGCAATTACTCATGTGAGCCAATGAGTAATTTATGGGGTATGGTTATACATAAAGCTGAGCATCCACCCATTCTCTCTGATGTTTACTTGGTGGTGGTTAGATAGCAATTTTACTGTTATTCAACTCAGCAAAGAATTTAAAAGCAGATCAGTTATTTACATTTTTAGTATGTAGCGCTTGAGTGCTCTGTGTGTGAGGTAAAAAGCATTAAACTCGCTTCTTCCAGTGTGTAGGAAATATCTGAGCACCCACGATGCTGAGCAAGAGCGTCTTTATGAGGTGGAGGCACCTGGAGACTGGAGCCAAAGGCGAAATGTATGGCTAACCCTGCAGCTGGGCTGTAACCCTTAGGCCTGTCTTTATTGGCTTATATCATAGACGTGGACCCGGGCAAATCCAGGCAAAGGTTGACAGATAAAGTAAGTGCCTTCCATAATTCAGCAGTAGACTGGAGAAGTAAGTAAAGGATATAATTGTGGGTTACAGTCCATTGATGCTTCAGTGTATAGGATCTGTCTGTTTTTGTCATTTGCCTAGAAAATGATAAAATATGAAACATGACTCAGTGAATCCATGAGATGCATATATATATATCCATCCATCCATCCATCACTGTAACCGCTTAATCCCAACCGGGGTCACGGGGGGGGGGGACCAGAGCCTATCCCAGGAACCACCGCAGGGCACACACACTCACACAGTCATACACACACTCACACAGTCACAAGCACATAATTACGGGGCCAATTTAGATTCGCCAATTAACCTACCGCGCACGCTTTTGGACTGTGGGAAGAAAACAGAGCCCCCGGCGGAAACACGGGGAGAACATGCGAGCTCCACACAGAAAGATCCTACGCCCAACCCAGGGACCGAACCCAGGACCTTCTTGCTGTGAGGCAGCAGCACTAACCACTGTGCCACAATCCTAAGGCAAAATAAGTGTGACAGGAAACTAATCAGGCAATGATGGATCTACCTTCTAACCGGTGACTGGTAGGGTGACTTGGGGCATGGGGCCTATTCCAGGCAGTACAGATCACATGACAGGAGTACACTCTGGATGGGATGCCAGGAAGCACACACACACAAACACACACACACACACACACACACATACTATATGGACAAAAGTATTGGGACAACAGACCTCTTAGTCATTGAAATCAGGTGTTTCCTTCACACCCATTGCCACAGGTGTATAAAATCAAGCACATAGCCTTGCAGTCAGATTTACCAACATTTGTGGAAGAATGGAATGTTCTAAACAGTTCAGTGAATTCAGGATTGGTGCTGTCATGGGATGCCACCTTTGCAGTATCTCAGCTGTAAGTGGTATTATTGAAGAGCGAAAGCATTTAGGAACAACAGAAACTCAGCCGTTGCAGACCACGTAAAGTAATAGAATATGGTTGGCAAGTGCTGAGGCACATAGTGTGTAAAAGTCACCTGTTGACTTAATTATCGCAGAGTTCCAAGCTTCCTCCGGCATTATCTCCAGCACAAAAACTGCGTGGTGGGAGCTTAATGGAACAGGCTTCCATGGCTGAGCAGCTGCAAGCAAACCTCACATTGCCAACCGCAATGCCACGTGTCGGATAGAATGTTGTAAAGCCTGCTCCCACTGGACTCTGGAGGAGTGGAAATGTGTTTTATGGAGTGACGATTCATGCTTCTCTATGTGGCAGTCTGATACATAAGTCTGGCTTTGGCGGATGCCAAGAGAACATTACCTGCCTGACTGCATTGTGCCAACTGTAAAATTTGGTGGACGAGGGACACTGGAATGGAGTTGTTTATCAGGGGTTGGGCTAGGCCCCTTAGTTCCAGTGAAGGGAACTCTTACTGCTTGCAAGTATGCCAAGACATTTTGGACAATTCTAGGCTTCCAACTTTGTGGGAACTTTGATGTTCATGTCTGTTCCAGCATGACTGTGCCGCAGTGCACAAAGCAAGGCCCATAAAGACATGGTTGGGTGAGTTTGGTGTGGGAGAACTTAACTGGCCCACATAGAGCCCTGACCTCAACCCCATCAGACACCTTTGGGATGAACTAGAACGGAGATTGTGAGCCAGGCCTTCATGTCCAACATCTGTGCCTGACCTCACAAACGCTCTTCTGGATGAATGGGCAAAAAAATCCCACAGATACCCTCCTAAATCTTGTGGAAAGTCTTCCCAGAAGAGTGCCAGCTGTTATAGCTGCAAAGGGGGGATCAACTCTATGCCTGTGGATTTAGAATGGGACGTCATAGAAGTTCCTGTAGGTGTAATGGCCAGGTGTCCCAATACTTTTGTCCATATAGAGTGTAAATGTGTATACAGTCTGTTTAGTTTTGCTTTCATACAAAATAGTAGACAGCCAATGACAATGTATTTCAAATACAATAACTGCATGCATTTATGCAGGAAAACACCATTTTATGTGGCTTCTTACTAAGCACCTAACCTGTTAGGGTTGACAGTGTAATTTTTAATTTTTATGAAAGTAAACAGACTCGAAGTATTCAGACAACGAAAGACGATCATCATACTGATATTATATAACGAAGTACGTTTTTCGTCTCCGGTTACTGGAATGATCCTTAGTCCTCAGGTTATTTCTTAAGACCAAATATAGTGCTAACAAAAGAACTGATTAAACATTTCAAAATGAATAAAACTTATCTTAACGGTGAAAAAGGATCTACTAATAATTAAACGTCATGTTGTCCTTTTCTCCTCGTGTGCATATATGTGTGCATATTTACATAAACAGAATAATAGTAAGTAGCATAACAATAAATGCATGGCATAAGTTACAATAATAGTTTTGGTGGCTGAAAATGTATGAAGGGTAGGTATTAAATTTGAAAAACGACATATTCCCGTATGATTATTTGATTCACAACTCGCTGCCTCGGTGCGTATCTATAATCAAAACTCCACTAAAGTACAAGATTTCCAACATATTATTAAAAAAATTTATAAAAAAAGACACCAACACACTTCCGCCGACTATCCCGGAGCTCCGTGACTTTACGGAGGGGGGAGTACGTGGACCGTACCATATCTGCAAGGGGGGGTCCATTACTGATATTTTTTCCACCGGTATAGGTGGAATATATTAGTTGTTATGAATATATATTAGGTAGGCCTAATATGTAAAAAAAAAAAAAACATCAAGGTTGATATATTCCAGAAAGTCAACGTTAAACACTAGAATTGTGCTTTGGCGAAACCCGGACGCCGTAAGTAAGACCCAGGAAATATCTGGGAAGTAAGTCGCGGAAAACCTGAAGAGAATTAGAATCGCGGTGCCCTTCTGCGCTTCGCTATGAGCCGTATATATGAAAATAAAGCGCTGCAAAATAAACCCGTGATAAATGAGAGACTAGATTACCCGTGGCGACCCTCTGCACATCAGAGGTAATATTAATTTTACTACACAACTTAGCAAACGCAACGCAAGCGTTTCAGAGAAGATGCATAAAATCGATGTGCAAAAATACTGCAACAGAAGTATACCAGCAGTGGACATGTAAATATAGACGTAATTTCAAAACAAAGATATTTATCACATGTTAAGATGTATGAAAATAGATATTTAGAAGCATATTCAAGTTGGGTTATAATAACCGTAAAATAAGGAACTTCTTCGCAGCCCTACTTTACTGCGGACATTGACGTATCTGCAAAAGTCTGATTTTAAATAAATCTGGTCTTAAGCTTTTGATTTTGATATTTTCAGTGGTCCAGGTGTTATTTTGGAAGGAAAGCTGGTGGATGTGTCCCGGCACGTTATTACTGATGTCAATAAGCAGAAGGTAATCGCACCATCACTAGGGCAGGAAAACAAAACACCCGGGTGCCTCGTTCTCGATTTAATTATAAACCGGAAACGTAGCTAAGAGTTTAATGACTGATCTTTCATGTGACAATTTCTTGTGTATGCTGACCTGGACAGGACCGCTACTACATTCTGTACGTTACACCAAGTCGAGTCCATCGGCGGAAGTTTGATTCCAAAGGCAATGAGATTGAGCCGAACTTCAGTGAAACACGGAAGGTCAACACGGGCTTCCTTATGTCCTCCTTCAGTAAGTGCTGGGAATGTTCCATGGATCTGGTGGTGTATTTTTAGACCTATACTAATCATTGGAGCTCAGGGGCTCGGAATAAGGCAACATTAGTCAATTGAAGTTCATTAAAATAGAAAAAATAGAAATGCTAATTGGCATATAGGTGCTAACAACAAGAAATGCCTGAAATCAGGCATTATGGTGCTCAGAGCTGTAGGTCTGAATTAGGCCTGATCTGTGCATGGAATTTGCATCACCTCCCTGGGTTTGTATTTTTTGAACTAATTCAGACAATTCCAGTTCCAAACTCATAGTTCTGTCTAAAGTTGAGTTATAGCATTTTTCCAGAGGATAATATGATATGTAACAATTCTAGTAACACTAATTGCTTTAAAGAGTTTTAAAGAGACCATTCCATTTTCTCTGTGATTCAGAGGTGGAGGCTAAAGGGGAGAGTGACCGGCTCTCTGAGGACGAGCTGAAGGCGGTAGTCCGCAAGGCGGAGCTCTTGAAGGTGACAGAGACACACGCACCCCCTGGTACCGTGTCCTTCTGGTTGCCGGAGGGGGAAATGGAAAAGACGGAATTAGAACCCGGGCAGGACATCAGACTCAAAACCAAGGGGGACGGACCGTTTATCTGTGAGTGATTCCGGTGACGCCGAGGTGGAGCTGTAGTCCACAACCCTGGAATCATGTTACTACTCTGACTTCATGTTTCAGAAGTTAGGAGGTGCCCCGTAAGTGTATATAGCTGTGACATGTTTCCCGTCATTATATATTAACAGTATCACCCAATACCATCACACTAAAGACAAGCACAACATCCATGTTGCATTATGTTTGCGTCACCTTTATGATGTACTGCCATAAAAGTGCCCATAGCAACGGTTTTGTTTTCTCAAGCTTTTCTATAACCTTGTCTGATGGAATTTTGTTGTTTAGGAGGGCTTTATAATAATGCGTATTGACTTTGATGCTGATACTAATTGATAATTAACAGAACTTTTATTGGCTTTAGTGAGAATGGAATGGCAACATTTCTGATACCACTGACCATCTCATTGTTTCAGTTTCCTTGGCCAAATTAGACGGGGGCTCGGTAACAAAGTGTAACTTTGCTGGAGATGAACAGACCGGAGCTTCCTGGACCGATAAGATCATGGCGAACAAAGCTGGCAGCGACAGTGTGGCGAAATGTGAAGGGGGGGCCGAGGGGGTGGACGAAAGTGAGTGGGTAAGGATGGCTAACGCGGCCGAACCGGGCAGCGGCTGACTCGGACTGGGCACTGCTCAGTACGAGCTGGTATCCACATGTCGAAAGAACGTCATGCCGATCCGTCAGTTTAAATGTACAACTGGATACGTCCACTGGAGTAGTTCAGGCAAGCAGCCGTTAACATTTACATCTCAGATCTTGTTGTATAACGACATGTCTTATCGTATGACTGTTGGCTGTATGACATTGCTTATATAGCATAAAAAAAATAAAAATAAATAAATAAAATCATAACAAAAAATAACAAAAACAAGAAACACAGTGTTTGTAATCTGTATGTTATATCACCGTACTACTTATTCTGTTTATGTAAATATGCACACATATACACACAAGGACAAAGAAACAACATGACGTTTAATTATTAGTAGGACTTCTTTCACCATTAAGAGAAGTTTAATTCACACTGTAATAGGTAATAAATTATTTTGTTTGTTTTATTAGTTACTTTATTTTAAATGTGCTATAGAAATAAACCTGAACTAATCCTGATGTTCAGATGTCTGTCAGAAGATTAGGTGACAGTTAAAGCCATCATACCTGCTATCATTTTCAGTGTATACTGCATTGACTTTTGTATTGTGTTCTAGGATGACTGAGGAGGTTTATGAACCTGCTGGAAATGGATGGTCTATGAAGCAGAAGGAAGTTAGCCTGCATTCCTTACCACTCCTTACCGTCAAGATTTACTGTATTTAAATTTACATGTACTTACCACCTTTCTGAATCTTTGGAAAACCTTTATAATAAAAATGTTTCAGTAAAACCATTGTGTAGTTTACCTAAATTTAACAATGTCACCTCGCATCTTACCTGGTGAAAAGAATGCGAACACAAGGCTGCTGATGATATTGGTTATGAAATCTACTGGAATATGAAAATATTTTTTCTTTATGGGCCAACAAGTGTAGAGTCATCACAAGCATTTCTTGTTATTTGTCATTGGATAATTGAAGATGGGGCCAGAAGATCATTTTAATCACACAAGTATTACTAAATGCTTGCTTGATGACCATAAGTGTTATGAAAAATACGCTTAGAAATATAAACTGGAATATCACATTTAAAAGTCCAAGTCAGATTATTTTGAGCTTGTTTTCTTTTGGACTTGCTGTCTGAAGGCCACAGTGCTCCTTGTAAGGATGGCTCTGGGTGTCAGCATCAACACCTCGCCGCCTCACAGCTAGTGCCCTGGGTGGGGCTCACAGCTTGGCAAGCTGCTCCTTTATGGTTGTGTGTGATAAATGATTAGCTGACACAGGAAACCCAGGGCATCCTTTTGCATTCTCCACCCAGCGGAGATTCATAGCTGTGCAGAATGACATGGTCCTCAGTATTGTATGTGGGCCAGAGTGCTTGTCGATGCTGAGTCTTAGTTGGCAGGTGGCTGCACTGCACAGCCTCTACTCAGCACACTTACTCCATCCTACATCTCCTGTTTAACACAGGAGTCATCTGTTTAATAACGGCAAAGGACACAGGCGTAGGCGCCTCCTCACAGGATGCGGTCGGAGGCTGCTGCTTGTGCCTCGAAGAGGCAGAGGACAGACTCCAGATGGCCACTGCGAATGTCTTATGCTGCCTCAAACGGGACGTCCTTGTTCCCCAGGACAGCTGCAGGGTCTCCTGTTACATCATCACACAGACTTTGCACATCGGGCAGGAAGTAAACAGCCCGGTGAGGCCAGACGTGCTGAGTGGAAGCATGTTCGCCCACGAGATCCTACACTAACTTAGAGTCACTTACATAGGGAGTTACACAGATACCATGTGATAACCTTGCTCTCGTGACGAAGCTGATCAGGCCCCCAGTGTACCAATGTGGTGCTAAACAGGAATTTAGTGTCCTGTGGGGGGGTGCCACAAAGTGAGTTTTACATCCCCAGAGTTAACCTGATAGAGTCGGATTAACTAATCCTGCATGAAGTTAAATGTTATTATGATGGTGGTTGTTAACTTGGCAAGTCATCTTGGGGTTTCTTAATCAGTGTCTGTGAATGTTCTGGTTAAAGTAGGTAATAAACAGGTAATACCTACCCACTTTACCCACTGGCAAAGTATATCACATGTGCCCTGCAATGGGGTGAGAGCCCAGCTGGTGTGTCCCCTGTCCCCTGCCTTGTGCCTCACGCCTCCCCGGGACTGTGTACTGGATAAGCATTTGGAATAATTAAAAGGACAGAAAGACTGATCTTCAATGACACAACACCACGTACCTTGGTCTGTTTTATTTTGATAAAAGGATTTTTTGACAATCTAGAAAATTTCCTATATATGCAGTTAAAATATTAATAGACAGACATAATAAACAGATAAATGATATTTGTTTGAAAATTCCTATGTTCCTCCTCAGTCTGAAGTGTTAAAAAATTGTCCCTGATATGGTCGTATGGACCCAGCAATAGACTGAGTAACTGAACAACAACCACCACTGAGGTGAAGGTAGCGATATGTTTTTTTCTTTCCTGACCGGTCACCACTGCCATTTCTTGTATTTCCGGAATAAATAAATTCTTTGGAAATTCACTGTGAAGTTCATTTGTCCGCCGGCTCTCTTTGGAACCAATCCAGAACAGTCTGCTTGTTTTCCTTTACCCACTTGATGTTGGCCCCCGTCCTCTCAATGGCCTGCTCGAGGGCCTGCGTGGCAGAGCCGAAGGAATCCGGCCCGTGGTCCTTCTGGAACTGCTTCAGCTATGTGGAGACAGATGGAGGTAACATCAGAGAGGACCTCAGAACGCACCCGTCTGCCGCTCTGTCACAGCGCTTCTGTGTCACATCTGTGTCAAATGTCAGAAGTGCCCATCCCACTGGATAAAGTGAGGTCAGAACCTCCCTAAAGAAGCTCAGCGTAAACGACAAACAATCAACTTTAGAAGTTTGGTCTCTCCATGGTAGCACTTTGTTTACCTTCAGCTTGATACAAAACAAAACAGCCAAAACAACAGACAAAAAAAGATGTTTGGGATTTCTAGAGCTTTGGCATCAAAGTACTGGTGCTATACAGACATTTATTGGAATGGTACGATGCACCTTCACCTGTTTAAGTTCCAATTCTGAGGAGAATCTCTCCGTCACTCCATCAATGAGGTTTCCAAGTGGCATTATTCCCCCACCATACCTAAATGAGTAAATATACATACATTGAACAGCAGCTAAAAGAATGTACTAGCTTGGGTTTCCCAGTCATACATGATTATGTAAGTGGCAACTGAAGCACTCGAAATTCTAAACAAGGAAATGGAAAAAAAATTCACAAAGCAGGAAATATGTATATCAATTAAAATCTCTGATTCCTTGGTAACCAGTCTAACCTTTGTACTAGGCATTATTGTCTGTCCCATGCTAACCTAATATTGTTTTATTGTTTGGTGAGACTACGTGAGACTCATTATGTACGTTAGTTAATGATAAACTGATGGCCATAAGTTCATATTCATAAATATCAAAACAGGGAGGAATTATTTCCAGGATTATCAACATTGTATCAAAATCTGTCTTATTCAGAGAAACTTGTTGGGACTTCCTAATGTTTTCTTGCATTACATGTCAGAAATAAGGACTCACTCTTGGATTATGTACGTCCAGTGAGACTGGACAAATTCCCAGGCTAATGACTGGCCGGCCACGTTTGCCGCAATGTAGTTCACAGTGGAAACAAAATCCATCTTCCTTATCTTACTCGGATCCAGAGTATATGTGAGGTATCTAGAAGGTAGAATAAAAGTTTTGAAGTAGAGTACATAAAGGATATTACACTGAAAATGTGGTGGTTTCTTCTTGAACCCACTGGTAAAAGCATGTATTGCCATGGCAACCATGTAGTCCGGATAACTCTGACCTATTTAAGATCCAAATGTTCCTGGAGCAGGACATTCCGTATCTGAGCTTGTCTTTTTCACTTGCTATGGTGGCATTTATGTACGCCTCCCACGCGAAGTCCCATTCCTTTTCCCCTCCAACAGCTATGGCGCTGCAGTAGATGGCTGACTTCAGGTTTGATTGTATCCTGGAACAATTGATGAGACATTAGAAAAGTTCTCTGTTGACAGTATAAAAGAAAATTAGATCCAGATGGTTATTCCTTTGTCAGTTTAATGAAACTCAGTTTGACAAGGTAACTTGAGAGTTTTCGTAGCTTATTTCTGCTTATATGCAGCATAACTTGTGATGTCATGTGCTTTGATGGGCCACAGTACATAGAAAATCATAGAAGTCAATCCTGGACATCCCCTGTTTTGTCTTTGAGAAAGTAACAAAAACTTTCTTATGTAAATTAATTGTAATTTTCCCTTTATTTCTATATGTTCATTGATAAATATGAAACATAACCGGGCAGATGGGATGCCTTCTTACGCATTCTTTTCCGGGTCGTCCATCCAGCCCTTGAAGAAAGCGCTGGCCATGTTTTGGCACTCGGGAAGTTCATTGGCACATGCAACTGAAATGGCATTGATCTGGTTATACCTGCGAGGAACAAGATCGCGCCAGTTTCCGTGAGACAGACGGTCAATGTCCAGATAGCAGCTCCTGTAATAAGGTACTATGACTCACTGTTCAGCATGGTCTTCTGGAACTGTGGAATTGTCGGTGTAATTTTTAAAGTGCGTATAAAGGGGGGTGACTTGCTTTCTCATATAAGCCTAGAGAAGAAAAGGCAAAACACAGTGTCTCTCTATGTTTAATCTGTGATATATGCTCATGTCACATGCCAGTGTGAATGTAATGTACTTGACATTGATATTGCAGAAATCACTGACCTTCATTGGACCATAAACCTCGGAGCGATCGAACATGAGAATGAAATATTTCAGGTTCCTCAACCCGAACTCCCACGGTATCAGCTCTGTTTCATTGTAAAGGAACTTGGTTGTGTTTAAAGCCAGAGTGGTATTAACATGGTGGGCTCTAGATGAGAGAACCATCAGCATTGTATCAGTGTTTGTTAAATTCCAGGGAGCCTCACACCTACATGATTAGACTGGCAGCAAGAATTTTGTTTTACTTGCATGTTTTTTTTTTTTCCATCAACGCTACTATTCAAAAATAACTGGAGTTAAATGAAAAAAATCACCATCAAGTCAAAGAATATTATGACTATTTTTGCTGTTAACATGTAAGTTGATTAGTTTACAGTGTGCATGCAGTTTTGTTTTCGAAGACTGTTGTGTAATAAATAGTATTTAATGTAACACAGTGACGCTGCCAACGGGCAGAAAATATTGCTCCAATACTGCAGTAGCTCCATAATCTACTTGGATCTTTTTGGTCCGTATGGTGGTGTTATGGGATTCTGAGCACTTGGCTGTGATTAGACAGAGTTATCAGAACAAGGAGTCAGTATGAACACCTGCATGGAATGACATGAATCATGAACGTACCGTGCAAGATTAAACGCATCATCAATAAGCTGCCCTCTGTTGATGACTGGAATTTCCTAAAAGCAATTAATTCATTTTAATTAAAACATAGAGACACTTACATGCTGAATCCTCCCACATATAAATCTCAAAATGACATAAATATTAACTCATTTTTAAAAAAGGGTCTAACATTAATGTAGAAATACACATTTAAATAGAAGTATTAGTACATAGAATACTTTTAACGTGTAAGCATCTAAAAAGCTCAGTTGCAGTAATGTTATTGACAAGATCAAACACCTATTCAATCTAAAGCATAACAGCAACATTTTAGCATTAAAAAAGTCCATAATGGGAGCCATGCCTGTGACTTACCTGAGGATTCATGTTGAGCTGTTTAAGGAGTTTTTCCCAATTCCCCTGATCGTAGTTAACTCTGTAATATCCAGTGTAGTAGACATTGGCCAGAAGCCACTGGTCTTCTTCAGTTCGGTACTCTGGCCTTCTGACTTTTTACACAGTTACAACATAATAAGTACAATGCCTTCGTTAGACCTTAAATTTAGTCATAACAAACACAGTTTTATCGTGATGAAATGTCCATATGCATTCTTAGCCTTGTATCTATGTGAAATGTAATTATTGTAAATATATCAGTATTTATGTGTTAATGGTTATAAAAAGCCTTAAAAACGACAGTAGTTCCTTACCTGGACCTTTTTCAGTCACCGGGTCAAACTTGTAATCTGGTTCATTTGATCCTGACTTTAACATAAGAACTGGAACATACCATACAAAGCTGTGGAGATGGAAACCATTTCAGAAAACAGATACGAGACACAAATCGAGCTAGAATCGTAGAACAGGGTGATTGAAGTGAAATGTTCCTTCATCTGTCCTTCTCCCCCAGCTTGCGTTTTTTGCCCACTGAGATCTCCTGTACTATGGGGGAACAATCTTGGCTTGAAATCCACACATTGAAAAGCAGAGAGAGTCAGCCATACAGGCTTTTCGGCAGCATGGGCATTCTCGGTTTATAGCTGTTTCTGTGCAGCAGCACGCTGTAATGTGAAAACTCTGCATCACCACTGTCACCGTGGCAACCGTTGCCAGATTTGTGAGGTCACAGGGATTCCACTCGAGCGGCGGGACGTACTTGCGGGTGGATGTTTGATTGAGCAAAAAGTGCTGCTGTGAAACATCCCCAGTTTTGGTGTTAATGGTTATGAGCGGGTAGCCCATTTGCTGGGTCCATGTCTTCATCACCTGTGCCACATTGATATCAGCAGGTCCTAAGGCCTAAAATAAACAGCATTTCAGTTAGACAGAAGTGTCATTATACTGTACTTTCTTAATGCTAATTTTGTGATGCGATCACTTTTAAGGTTCACTTTCCAAGCTTACCTCCTGTAAGTGTCTCCAGAAGTCTGCAGCCTCAGTGTTGCTATACTGATAAGCTTTGAGATACGTCTGTGAAACGGCAAAGTACATAAAGACACATTTACACCTTTAATGCTCTAATAATGACACCTAAACCTCAATTTTCTGATGTGTTTCAAACATTCAGCAATGTGCAGGTTGTTAATCCAGCTGGAGGCAAATAATAATATGCATCACAAACTAATGAATACTGCGATACTATATTCTGAAAAGCCTACTAAGTACCAGAGATGGAAAGTTCAGGTTCTGAATGTAAAAATCCAGACAAGATTTTGTTTCAACCACCAGTTGAGTATGAAGACTGACAGTCACAGACAGTACTCAACTGGTTGGATGAAGCATTTTGCATGCTGAGCATTCTAAAGAAATACAGTATGTCACCTTAATGCCCTTTTGGAAGACGGTGTCTTTCAGGTATATGGACAGCATCCTTAATATCGATGCCCCCTAAGTGACAACCAAAAAACAAACAACACATCAGATATTCCACATATTAGTCACCTGATGATAAATTACAAATAAAAATGAGTATTTGTTCTACTGTAAGGTTGTGGCAAAAAGGACCCCCCCCCCAAAAAAAAAAGGTCCCATTTGACTTGATCATGAGAGCACCTTGCTGTAGGTGATTTGGTCAAACTGCTGTGTGATGTTAGCAGGGGTCTGCACATCCTCTGCTCTGGGGCTGAGGGGGCGGGACGTGGCCAGGGAATCCACCTGAAGCGCTGGCTGGGTCTCATAGAGGACGAAACGGTCGCTCTGGAAACAGGCCCCACCCCCCAGGAGTGACACACGGATAACCAGCGCGACATGGAACAAAAGACACTTTCGCATCACTTAAGGCAAACCTACGATTTTCCATTCGGGGTGAACGCTGTCGATCCCGATATAGGAGATGTATGTCGCAAAGCCCTCATTCAGCCACAGATCGTTCCACCACTTCATGGTCACCAGGTTCCCAAACCACTAATCGGGAGACGGACAAACAGAACAACAGCATTGGTTAAAAATGACATGGTTATTCCATCTGCATGCAAACACAATTCATAGCTATGGGCAGCTCTTTATTTCTGTATTTAATATTTGGTTTCAGGTAAAACTTCATAAATCTATTTTCTCTTCTCATTTTACTTGAAAGGCAACAATTTAATCTGTTTGATTATATTTATGTGCAGCAATAAGGGCGTCTACAACCCCCCCATTTAATTGTCTACCTCATTCACGATGTATAGGGTTTTTCTGCTGTTTGCACATGTATTCAATTATGAATATGAGAACTGGCAACACGTAGGCAAGACACTATAAAGCACATCGCCCAGCCTCCCGTACTGCTTGGGTACATGTCATGCTGTTAATTGTAGTAAAGATTTGACTTGACTCAGCCACCACTGCTGTACCTGATGGGCCAGTTCATGGGAAATCACTCTGGCAATCCACTCCATGTTTGCTGTGGAGGAGACGCCTTCTTCGTAGAGCAGGGCGCCCTCACGGTAACTTATCAGGCCCCAGTTCTCCATGCCGCCTGCGCTGAAGTCCGGTATTGCGATTTGCTCTGTAAAGCAGATCAAGCAACAGAAAGATCCAGATCACATTGCCGTCATTTTCCTAGTTCCAACTCCAAGTTCACAGAGGATACAAAATAATGTTCGTAATTATGTTCTTAAATCATTCTACCAGCACTTATTCTAGTAGGAGCTTTGCAGAAAGAAATTGTTCTATACATTTAATTTTTGAAAATAAAGGTATGGGCACAAGGTAGGGAATACTAGTAATAATAATAATAATAATAATAATAATAAGAAGAAGAAGAAGAAGAAGAATTTTATCTACAGTAAGCCTCCCTAAAGGAGATTTCATGAAAACACCCACCTAGTTTGCTCAGTGGATATTTTATGTCATAAAGTTCCTCGAAGGCAGGCAGGATGCTTTCCGCAGTCTTCTGTGCGTAATCTGCTTGACCAGCGCTTATGGCTTCTGGCCGCGCCCACGTCTGCAGAAAAACACAGGCGATTCAGCAAGGAGAGGAGAGGCTGATGACAGTCCTACACACAACGCCACAACTATCTATTTACACGAGAAACACTGGTGCTAAATGCAGGCGACCGAATGCCGTTCTTGAAGGAAATTGTAGTTTTAAAAGAAATCTTTTAACAGATCCATGGCATATAGAGACTGGGACTTGAGGCAGGCCGGGGCAGCAGAGGGGCACAGATATCCTGACCGATTCGGGGACGCTGCCACACTACAGAGGGGCCTTGCATAACATTATAGATTAGAGGCTCGGGGGACCCAAGTTGACATTTTGTCAGGGGGCCCAGAATTTCTAGCTATTCACCTGGAGACTGCATTTATTTGGCAGCCTTCTGATGTGACAGTTTAGGGAACCTGAATGACATGCAAATACATGTTTTGCCCTTTAACATAAATAACACGAGCGGAAATCCCTCGAGCACCAGGCCGAGCCTCATGAAAACTCTCTTATGTGGAGCCAACTCATCCTACACAATTATCAGTAGATGACACAGGAGACACATACACATACATACGTAAAATACACTCTAAAGTACAGTATAATTCTTTTGTACAATGTGATTGGTACCTCGGGGCTCTGGCAGGCCAGGGTTACCCTGCCAAATTCTGTCATCATTTAACGAATTTGGCCAACATCAGTCAATTCCAAATCACTATTCATAAATCTGTATCAGATCTTAAGCTTTATGGCCTGAAGAAATATCCCAAAGATATTTTCACTTTTTGCTCTACAGAGGGGAAGAATAGAACTCTCTGTACCTCCTTACCTGGTTCATCAACAAAAACAATGATTTAACTCAATTGCTAAGGAACACAAGGTACATACATAAGATACCTTAAAGAAACTTGAAAGCGAATAGTTATCATACTACAGCAAAGTGTGTCCTCTGCATTTAACCCATATGTGACATTGCAGGGGCAGTTAATTTAGCACACAAGGAGTGGTACGTTGCTCAGGGTACCTCAGTGGTACTTGTTGGGGATTCAAACCAGCAAACTACAGGTGCACTTCCCTAACCATTATACCACCACTGCCCAAAAACTTCCCACTGGTGTCATGGTGAAAAGTACCTCATAAATACATGTGTACACAAGTCAAAAGTAATCATTCTTGAGATCTCACAGAAAATATAAATAATATATACAATACAAAATATTGCATTGTAGTCGTGACAATTTATCAAAGCTCAGTAATTAATGCTTTTAATGGGTTGACAAAAACACTTTAAAAACATGCAGTTCACCATCCTTCCAAGTTAAATGTAGATATGGTGAGCAAAAACACATCCTTTGATTTCCAGTTCTGGATGTCTACTGGGAGGCCAGTGGGGAGCAGCCTGAGGGCTATGGCAGGGAGGAACAGCTGCGGACGACCCAAAGCAAAGGTTTACAGCTCATAGTAACTTGGTTCAACATTAAAACAGTAGGGTGCAAAAGTGGACTGCACCAGCACTGCTGGATATTATGCATCCAGGTTTTGTGCATGATCACACGGGAACCAGTAGGATGCTTGGCCACTTTAGAGGTCACTGCATTCGCTTCCAGACTTCAAAATTAAGTGAGATAGAGACTAGATTAGACATACACTTTATTAATCCCCAAGGGGAAATTCATATACTCCAGCAGCAGCATGCTGATAAACGCAATATTAACTAAAGAACAATAATTTAAAATTTAATTTGAATTATTGTTCTTTAGTTAATATTGCGTTTATCAACATGCTGCTGGAGTGCAGTGTGCTGACCTGTGAGGTTTTGGTATGGATCAGTCTTATCCAGCTGACTAACAGGCAATATGCTGCATTATAGCTATTTTTCCATAAAGTGGTAAAAAGTCATCCAGTACGACAACAGTTCATAAAACTGTAAGCCTTAAAACTGTAACTGTAAACTTTACATTAAACTGTAAGCCTTGAAACTGTAACTATAAACTTTGCATAAAACTGTAAGCCTTAAAACTGTAACTGCAAACTTTACATTAAACTGTAAATATTGTAAATATTGTCAAGTTCTGGTTCTTCTGATGCATGCTGGCCAATATACTTTCTGAATTTTCTTTGTTTCTGTACTTGTACTGCTGCCCCCACAGAAGGAATCCTCTGCTTATGGACGTGACATCGCATGAAAACTCTAGCCAAACAAAATATAATACTTATGAATTTTTTTTGTTCTTTGATTTCAGTCACAAATTTTGTGAAATTGATTGGCCCTTGTGGGGACCAATCATGTCCTCATAAGTCAAAACAGGCTGTGTGCAGAGATAACAGTAAAATGTAAAGAAATCAAGTTTCACAAAAACATATAAAGTTTTCAAAATGTTCATAGACAACCTTTGCCCAGAAAGAGCAGGATGACATACCCTGATTTGACTGTTTCCCAGCGCTGGTATTCTTTTGAATTCAGAGACTGTGAAGGCTAAGAGGTAAGTTGACATCTTGTGAGTTGGATTAAACTCAGTAACAAGCCATGTCTCTCCATCGATAGTGATCTCAATGTGACCTGTTAGTGAATTGTTGAAAACATCGATCAATGATCTTTTAAATCTAAGTATTCATGCTCAGAATGAAAAAAGGAAAAAAAAAACTTCACTTTGAGGACCCAAAGAGAGATACGACAGCTAAAAAACATCATTTGATGACAAATGAAGAGTGAGTCTCTTTACCCTTTCGGTTGGAATTACTCAGCGCTGTGGTTCCATCCCTGTGTATTATGGTGACATTAAATACAGCTTTCATGGCTGGTTCATCGAAACAAGGAAACACTCTCCGTGCATCTGTAGGCTGCATCTGGGTTGTTGCTAGGAATCTAAAAGAAGGTGATTTGTATAAATTAATAATAAATAAGCAAGAAACAAGCAACGAACAAAACACTTATAAAGAGTGGCTTGGTAAATGTTGCAGTTGGCCATAGCCAATAAACAGGGCTGGGTTGTAATATGTAAGCTTGTACAGAAGAATTGACTAGAATTTTGTTCAGTCTTGAGTTCCTAAGGAAAGCTTAATGGAAAAAGACTTGGAATGACTGTAATGTGTGCCTGTTCTGTGTGGGGGAAGCAGTGCTCACTCGTTATAAGACCATGTGCCTTCTCTTGGTCATACGAGGCTAAATAATTCTTTACTAACTGGCTACTGAATGTCCACTTAGTATGTAAGCACACAGAAATCTTACATAAGTGGTGGATAAATAGTTTTGCAATAGATGCTACATTTGCTGGTAAGTTATGATATGATATGAAATGATATGATTTTACTTACTTTTTGAAAAACATTTTCCTAACAAGCTTAAGGATTATTATATGTGCATAAACATAAAGTTATGTAAAAAACATACTCTCACTAAAGGTTATATGGGGGAAATTAGTCTATTTACCAACACTGGAAATGATAATTGTGTTATTTTTTTAGTGTATTGTTTTTAACCTACAATGGCTGGTCTGTGTAGGTTGAGTCCAACCTTACCTGTCTTCCCCGTCCACTGTGTATTTACTCTTATAGAATCCAGTCATGTCATCCTTCAACTCCCCTTCAAACGCTGTGAAGAGTGTGTATGTCTCACCAGCTTTCAACACACCATCAAGTTCAATTTCCATGAAGTTGCTGCTGCCCATTGTCAAGCTGAGTTTTCCACGCAGTTCTGTGTTCCTTCCATCAGATACACGGTACTCCGTCACATTCAGGTCTTTGCTGTGGAGAAAGATCCTGTTTGTGTTTTTCACACACTTGAAGATCACGGTGGAATTGCCAGTGAAAGCGAAGGTCTGGTTCGTAATGTTGGTCACCTGGACGTGAAAATGAGGCTGCAGATACAACTTGTACATCTGAGGAACTAGAGTGTCTGGTAGCCTCAGGTTCGGAGGCGGCCCGGATGGGAACGGCGTGGTGGCGGGGGGCGTAGGTGGCCGGCGCGGGGGATCGTTCGACATCTCTATTTGGTAGATGACCACCATTGCCACCATGGAGCAGACGGCTGAGGCCGTCACCACGCCGATACCCACGGCCAGAGCCTTGGAGAAGAGCAGTCCTTTAAACATATCTGAGCCTCGTGTGGGCCTCCTGAAGAAAGTCTCAGCTAAAACAGTGCTGCAACTTTTAATAGCTTTACTGCCGTGCTCTGACCTCCCATAAACACACCACGGGCCACACCAACACGCACCTAGTCAAATCAAAGTGATTAAAAATTAAATGTTTCCAGTCAGCGAGCACCCGGAACAGGTCGATGTTCACTTTAGCCCAATCATTCCTTCGGTTTACTGCATCTGGAAACCGTCCCCACCCACCTCGGCCCCTGGGAGCAGAGAACCCTCTGGGCAGGGGCCGGTGCTGGGGCGAAGTGCATATTCGCATGTCCCAGTGATCCTCAGACTGGCTGTGGGTGTCCACCTCGGCCCCCGCAGCCCCTTTTGACTGGGGAAAACAGAGGCTGCTCACAGCACTGTCAGCCTCTCTCAGACATTCATACACTCCCACCCAGTCCTTGGGGGCACTGACCAGTCTTTAAAGCCCCCCCCCCACCCAGCAACTGGATTTCCAAGATTTTGGAAAATGACGACGATATTTTCCCTTACTCAGCTTGTCATAAAAACTGAGGAAATTTAAGGGACAAGTAACTGGAATCAGGCCCCATTACTGCAGATGCTTAGCTTTCTGAGTGTCGTAGCCTGACTAACTAAAGAAAGGCAAACACACTTTTATTTTATTACAGCGTCATTAACATTTAAAAATTGTAATCGTGCTGACCTGAAGTGTAAAAATTCAAGGTGCAATATTTTTCTAATAATAAAACAATAAAATATTACAGACCAAGCTGCTGATTCAAAAAGAATTGTATAAAAAGACTGCAGTCGTATGTCTCCACACATTCAAAACACTTTCTCAGTCTAAGCGCACTCTGCTGAAAGTTAATGTCAACCTAGTATCATATCTGTAGCATAATGTTTAAATGCAATGCACATCGAGCTCCTAAACTAACAATAAATAATAGAATATCCTTATTCCTCTATGGGTCTTGGATTTATTTCTTTAATACATAATTAATTACCAAGGAATCATATTATTTTAATAGATTATAGGCATTTGTTTCACAATCGTATGACCTCAAATGATTATTTATCCCTAGACGATTAGTATATCATTTTAACATTATAGCTGAAGAAAATCCTTGTACTTTTTCAGGAAGTTTTGTTAAAGTAAAACTGTATTATTCTGCGTTTCATAAACTCTGCTTTTTGCATTGTTGTTTGTTTTTATTTTAAATGCGATTTTATTTTTATTTTAATAGTGTCACATGTTCTTGGTAGTTATTTAATTTTTAATGGCACTGATAGGTTGTACATTCAATATAGACTGAACAAAGATTTTAGCATAGTGAAGTTTCAACTACTAGGAATTAAGATGTCATCTTCTGAAAGCAAGTTTAAAACGTCAGAAACGACACACAGGTCATGTTGTGTAAGATTAGTTTATGACTGTACAAAGTACAAACTAAAACGTGTTTTGATTGTTGTGTTATGATTGTTAAATGAGTTTATTACTGCCTTTACTGAGAGACCTCTTATGGTAAAAAAAACAATACCGCATCCAAGTAAGAGTTAAATGTTCGAGACAGTTCATGTCAGCGATGAAAGGCATCTGATTAAAGACAACTTTAATCATGATAGTTTTAACCTAAACAAGGACCAACACGATCTAAAAAAAAGAATAGTGGCGCCTCTGTGACTCAGTTGCAACAAGAACTGTAAGTTATATGAGCCTGACAGAGCTGGAATTTATGGCAGGACCAGGGATGGATCCTGGCAAGGGCACGAAGCATGACGTCATTCCTAGGGCACCCTGGGGTGCCCGCACAACTGCCCGACTGTAAACCTGTATCCAAGGCCAATGCACAAAGACGCCTAACCTGCTGTAAGGAGCCCAGAGCAATGTAAAAAAATAATATGGTCTGAAAAGTCATCTGTCACCTGTTATGCAGATGGGATTATGTTTGCCAAAGAATGCCTCCAAGCAAGGACCAGATGCACCTTATGGTGAGAATTCTAATCCCTCATGATGTTCCCATATATAAAGAAATTTTAAAATGGTTTTAGTAAAACCAGGATGAAGCTGGATTCCCCAGCCTACAAGTACAAGCATCATTGAAGCTTTATAGGAAGTTCAAGAGAACAATGTAAATTTCCAAATCATTCATCCCGTAATGAACTGATGGCTTTTCTCCTAGAGCAATGGCCTGATGTCCCCCTCCAACCATCTCCGGACGTGTATGACAGCACCCATGGAGGAGGGAAGTTCCTCTGCAGAGTAGCCAAGTTCCTTATTTGCTGCTTGATACATTGTTAGATGCTCCCATTATTTTCTCCATCATTTTAGTTACATAAAAATACATCAAACTAATTTGCTGTAATTGTTTATTAGAAAATCTTGCCAATTTGGATAGGATAACTTCATACCTAAATACTTACTTGAAATATTCATGTTAAGGAGAAAAATACAATTTTAATTGATAATGTAATAAGTCAGCAAGCACTGAGTAGAGCTGACCCACAATCTGCTTCCCCCATCGAGTAACAGAGTGCAGTGTGCAACGTACAGTCATACACCAAGCAAACAGAAACAAAGCTAATAAACATGGCAGGTTTCTGGTGAACAATGGTGCATGACAACCACACAAGGTCTAACTCACGCTGATAAAAACAGCACAGCAAATGATTACACCCTCTGTTCCTAACATGGCACCAGCTAATTTATGTAACTATCCTTTTAATTCCCAGTGAGCATAAAGCAACTCTCCAGCAGTACCAGTAGAGCCTTGTGGGGGGGCGCTCTTGAGTGTGGTGGGAGTAGCTTTTTTCTTCCGAGATTCATTGTTGACAGTGGGGAGGTAGATTAGGGAAACTAAGGAAATGGACGCTTCAGGAGACATTTCTTTCATTCAGGTGACTAAAAACACATAGATCATTTAGTTCTATGATGCACAGGTCTATAGTTTTCTTCAGGTTATTAACTCATGACACCCGGAACTGCTATGCCCATCCAATTCAAATGAAATGTAACTAAATGAAACACACACCAGTTTTTGATCCATTTTTAAAAAATGTTTAATCTGTATAATGAAAACGTTTAACAGAGTAGGAATGTTTTTGACAAATTTAAGTGCACAACTGACCTACCTAAAAAGCTTTTTAGGTTAAATTTGTTACCATCCAGGCTGTTTTCATACAATAAAACAATTATTAAAATAAGTAAAACAAAGCTAAAGATCTTTTTAAGACACCTGACATGAAACCATGTTAATTCTGTAGCTTTCATGATCATCTCACAGAGTCCCATATGTAGCCAGTGACTCAAATGTTTACTTTACCAAAGCCAGCTGTCTAAGTGTTGAAGGCAATAGCAGGACTGCTGAAGGATGGAGGTCAATTCACTGTAGCTCTGCTCCTTCCAGTTTGGGAGAAGGCGCTCATTGTTGAGAGCCTGTAGTTTGGGGGTTCCCTCTCGCAGAACCTGATAAAGGCACGGCCACCTGCTCTGGATCCGCAGCCTGGTCCGACGATCCAGAGTGAAGCCTCGGACCACCTTCTTGGCTCGCAGCTCTCGAAGAGCAGGCAGGTTAAGACAAGAAAAGACCAAACCGCGGCTCTGAGATACATCGAGGAATTCTAAGGACAAGGACTCCAGTGTGTAGGAGATCCCAAGATTCCTGAGGGGCACCAAGACATGAAGCGTCAGCGACTTGAGATTGGGCAGGGATTTAGTCAGGTTCTGCAAGGTGCCAGGGTTGACCCCTTTGAAGACCCAGAAGTACTTGAGCTCCAGAACTCTGAGGTACTGAAATTGAGTCAGCAGCGAGACTGAGGTTTCTGACCAGTCGAAATGCACCCTCATCTTGGATATGCGTGGGCAGCTGCTGGTGAGCTTAGAAAGCAGCACCTGAAAATTGCTCACCTGGTCCATTTTGGTGATGCTGTCCTGGTGGGAGCTGGAGCTGGAGCTGGAGTGCAGCCGGAGGTCCAGGGGCTCCAACAGAGTGAAGGTCCAATTTAAGTCCAGGTGAGTCAGGTCTCTACAATGGACACTTTCTAAAAGATGGGACAGAAGATCCCCCCACTTGTTGTACTGGTCTCCTAAGTCAAAGCTGGCCCTGAGGGTTAGAAGACTCGCCCCTCTGGATATGAGGTGATGGGTGTAGTTGTGGACCCAAGCCTTCCATCTCTCAAACTCTCGGTTGGACACCAAAAGGCCCTCCTGGCCCATGTGGAAAGCCCCGCGACGGGAGAAGTCTGCCACCCTCCAGAGCTTCCCCGAGCGTACGAGGCAGCTCCAGCTGGAGCACACCAGTGCTGCACTGCACTTGTCCACCTCGCTCAGGAAGGACAGCACATGAAGCTGGCAATCCACTGGCAGTGAGTTGAAAGGAAACAGGTCCTCCTCGAATTTTGCCTTCCTCTTCCCACTCATGAGAGTGACCGTTCTCTTCCGTTGAGGCATGATCTGTAAAGTTGGGACACTTGATCACATCTGGAAATGTCATGGTTTAGCTAAATACCTCAGGTTGGAGTACCTAGGAGAACAGAAAGAAAATGATGGACAACAGGTAGCATGTAAACACAATGGACACGTAAAGTGGTTCATGCCCCAGGAGTAATTGTAATTTCTGAGAACAAGACGTCAAAAATTGCTCTTGTAAAATTTCTTGCCTTGTATAAAAGTATGTTTGGTGACACCACGTATTTTCACAAAACTCATGAAAGGAACGCTCTGTGACAGTAACGTGTATGTTTTAAACCCAGTGACACCTTCAAACTGGCCCAACTATTTTGTCTCCCAAAATTATCTTTTATAAATAACAGCTGTTATTTAATAACGAAGTATTCCGCAAACGTAAGCATGTGGACAGTTAATGCAAAAAGCTTGTAGTAACTACGTGAGACTTTTTAAAACACTTACCTCCCGCATATTTAGGTATAACGCACAGTGTTTGAGGCGAGAGATTACGTTCTTCCCGACTGTTCAAGAGTGCTTTCCATCTAACTGTAAATACCTTACCGGATTTTCGGAGAGTGGTTTTTCCTTGCAGGACGATCTAATACACAACTTTAACTCTTTTATGTAAGATCATTTCTACTGTCGAATGTTTCAAAATACTGTAATGTCAGTATTTTGAACAAGGTGCCGTATTGTTTTGGACAGCATCGCTGTTGCGGTTGTTGTTCTTTGCCCGTTACGTCATTAAAGTGCGCCGCCTCCGTTTTCTTATTCGTTTAAAAGGTCGCTTGTTGAGACACGTGTGAGTCTATTCCGCCACCTACTCCGTCGGAGGGCCGACGACGAACAACAATTTAAAAAGTGCGTCTCCGAGCAGTAAAATGTCGTACTAGAGAGACAGCTGTGATTACGAAAACAAACACTTTGTGATGGGCGGAAGAAGCCCGCGAAACTTTTGAGACTTATTCATGATTATGTCGGGGAAAAAAAAGAGTCGAAGTTTCGGAAAACAATGAGTACAGTGACACCTAACGGACTGAAAAATGTACATCAGCAGTGCCCTCGAGACTACGGAAGAAGCACGCGTGCACCGAGTTGGTTTTACCATCCGTGTCAATCCACAATGTGTATATAAAGCACATTAATTTATGAAAATCATATTACCCATTAAACATAGATGTATATGTGAGAAATTATTGTATTATAAATATTGTACCAGTAAATAATGTTTAGTGTTCATCTGACACTGATATAAGGGGAGAATATTGTTTCTATGGGACAAGGTTAAACCCTCCTTGTTCTGCTCCCCCCGTTGCTAATGTTATCAGTCTCCATTATTATTTGCAGGCTTGTCAAATCTCACTGCGGCCAGCTGACTAAAGCTGGCGACCCTGCTTCACCCACACCTGGTAATCCACGACAAAACGCTTTACTGGCGAGACAGGGCATAACCCTTACATATGAAGGGCCAATCAGGGCAGGGCAGGTGCCGATAAGACAGATGGTACAAAACAATACCCACCCCTCATCTTGGTAATGGGTTAGGATTCTGAGCCAAGGATTGAAAGGTGACCAGTTCAAACCTCCTGGTCAGCTGAGTCATTTCACCATTGGGCCCTTGAGTAAGGCCCTTAACCCCAGTTGCTCCAGACACCGGCAGACCCTACCTTCTCAAAAATGTATGCTGCTTTGCATAAAAGTGCCTGCCAATGAAATGTGAGAATACAATACAAGAAAGTGCAAAAGCCAGACAATATGCTGATAAAGTGATCAATAAAGTAACTTAAACGCAGTAACGATGCTATAAAGTGCAGGTGCCAGTGATTGTTCGGTGGTTGTAGTGTGTGGTTGTTGGAAATACAAACAGTTTGGTGAATGAAGTGGTTTACCGAATCTGGCAGTCACTCATGCTGTGAAACCTCCTACAAGACTTTTGTAACTGACATTACTAATACTGGCTAATTAACCAGGCTAGATCTGCGGCCTTTTTCAGAAAGTAGGATTTCTTACTTAGCTGGATAACTTGTTGGATTTAAGGTGGTCTGGGCTAAATGTAAGGAATGAAGATTAAGGGCATTTAAATTGGGGTAAATTAAATCAGGCAAGTTTTCTGGCTAAGCAAGAAATCTTGCTTTTTGAAACAGGTGCCTGGGATTGTTAAATGGCTTTCTCACTTGTTGTGACAGAACGTGGTTAACTCGTGTGTGATCTCTTTCCCAGCTCTGACTTCCGACCTCTGAGGTAAATGGAACGCAGCATACGTCCCAGGTCTCTGAGCTTGGTGATCAGCCTAGGGGGTTCCAGCCTCTCTCCATAGTTCCTTTTAACATCAATGCTGGCCTCCTCCTGGTCATACCTGGCTCTCCTGTACATCATCCTTAGAGATGAAGGCTGCAGAGCACTCTTAGCTTCATCTTAATATTGTTGTTGAACCAAGTTTTTTGGTTGTGGAAAATCTTTATTGCTTTGTAGGAACACAGACATCAACACTGTGTGACATTTGCATGTTTGTGAAAAGCCACAAACAGTCTTTGAATACATTCCAGTGTGTGATTTCGAGGCAGTCTGTGAGTAGTGATGCAGCGCTGCATAAATCTCTCCACTGGGGGGCAACCTTTTCAGCTTCTGCTTGTATCCTTTGTGCAGAAGAATGGATTTGTGATCCGATCTGCCAAAATTTGGTCGCATTACAACATGGTACGCATCTTTAAATGCGGTGTAGCAGTGATCTGGCATCTTACTGTCTCTAGTTACACTGGTGATATGTTGGTAGTGCTTTGGTAGAACTTTTCTGATCTTGCAGTGATGGAAGTCCTCCATAATGACAAAGGCAGCCTCAGAATTCAGACTCTTCAATTTGCTGATCACGCCATGCAGTTTGCGAAGTGTTACCTTCACTTGCGGCTGAATGTGAAAGGCGGTGAGAATAACAGCACTGAATTCCCTCAGTAGGTGAAATTACCATTATAAGTTATGATATTACTATCCAGCAGTAATCAGCAATGGTTAATGACCAAGAAAAGTCAAAAGTGAACTGCAGATTTCAGAAGAAGTATTTTTAAGCTTAAGCTAAAAGTGGTGAATGTGGGAAATCCTTGCACATGTTAGAGAAAATGAAAGTTTGGTGCTTCATCTGTCAGACATGAGACATTAGCATTAGGGTGACCCTGTCACCCCTCCGCCATCGAATCTCTACTCCTCCCACACCCCCAACCTCTGTCTGTAGCCCCCCTACAGTAGACTTAGGCGGTATCTAATTTTCCATCCCATGATACTGTCCATACAGTACATTATACACAAGTTCAATTCTAGACTTTGAATCTGAATTCAAAATCCATAAATTGAAGACTAGTAATAGTCCCCCCCTCAAATAATCAAAACTGGCTATAACAAGCCCCCAGTAATCATATCTCCCTCTAAATGGGTGGATACCTCAACCCCTCAAATGTTCAAACCAAAGTTGTGCCCTTCCTGTGATGTATAACAATGAGAGGATTAATAAAGTACAGCAATAATAATGAAGATGTTGGCCAGCTAGGTGGATAAGCATCACTAGACCACCATGTAAAACTATGTAAAAAATGTCAGTAGAAATTGGAAGGTGCGGCAGCTACCACAGTTATCGATGGGGTGGGGGTGCATATAGGCTGCAGACATAGACTATGGACTCGGAAAGATTTTTTCAAGTCACGAGTGTTCAAGTCTGAGTCAAGGCCGAGTAAAATTTCACCCAAGTCCATTACAAGACTGAAACCATTCACATGAATGAATTTCGCCGATCAGCTAACACACTGTTACTGATAAGATTAGCTGGGGGGGGGGGGCAATGGTACATCTCACTGACCAGCTAGTGGACTGTTACCAATAAATTATAGAAATTATAAATTGACTGTGCCCCAGTGCACAAAGCAAGGTCCATAAAGACATGATTGGGTCAGTTTGATGTGGAAGAACTTGACTCATCATCAGTTTGTGAGGCCAGTGCCAATTCTAGACTTTGACTCTGAATTCAAAATCCATAAATTGAAGACTAGTAATAGTCCCCCCCTCAAATAATCAAAACTGGCTATAACAAGCCCCCAGTAATCATATCTCCCTCTAAATGGGTGGATACCTCAACCCCTCAAATGTTCCTGACCTCACAAACGCTCTTTTGGATGAATCAGCAAAAATTCCCACAGACACACTCCAAACTGTTTTGGAAAGGCTTCCCAGAAGAGTGGCAGCTGTTATAGCTGCAAAGGGGGATCAGCTCCATATTGATGCCTATGGATTTAGAATGGGACGTCATAAAAGTTCCTGTAGGTGTAATGGCCAGGTGTCCCAATACTTTTGTTCTTATATTGTACATAGTTTTATTTAGTTATCGTTTTTATTTTATTCTCTTATATTGCATTAACGACAATAATCCAACCTGTAAATACATGTTGCATGGTTAGTTTTAGTAAAAATTCTTATTTCTAATATAACATCCATACCACTCTTCATAAACGCAGTTGCCTGACATCAAAGTACATGGTTGCCTGGCGCATTGGCGCAAGGATTTTTGAATGTTGAGGTCTGAGGACAGTCCGGCACTATGGAACACACAGTGACGCAGGAAGTATGAACTAAGCCTTAGGGGTCTCACCACAAAGTGGGTGAATACTCTATATATGTACTGAGCTCTTTTGAGTTTTTTATGGTAAATACTTTTTAATACTGTGATATTTACCCCCACTACAACATTTGCTAATTCAACTCAAATTTAATTTAAAAAATCTCATTCTGAAAAAGTGCATTAAAATTGAAATCCAATTAAACATTTTAATTTAGTAAAAAGATGTCCTATGCAGCACTAGAGCCTGTAACACGAAGCAGGATTTCTTGCTTAGCCGGATAACTAAATTTAGCTTAGTCTGGTCTAAATGTGAGCAAAAGAAGATAAAGTCCATTTATACTGGTGTACCATATAGCACGAAATCCAGCTTTGTCATACAGGTCTCGGGTGGGTGTGTTACTGTTTTGTTAAAAATGGGTAAGTATACCAACAATTTTTAAAACATAAAAGGTAAAAATGAAAATAAAATATGAGTTTGTGTTTATGTCAAAAGAAATTACATTAGAAAAAACGTGTCGTGGCAGCATGCATCAGTCCTGAAGGCGCTGACATGTGATGGATCAATGAAAGTCCGCAACAGTACGCAGGATCCATGCTGTTTTTCATCAGTTGCTAACTACCTTTGTTGTGAGGTGACACGTTATGTTATGGTAACCGTAATGATATGAATATTATGTATTTTTTAAATGAAGAATCTCACCAGAGAAAGTTGGTGTCCGGATATTAGGGACAAATAGGAAGTGCAAAGTAGAATTCAAGCTGACCACAAGACTGCCTGATTATTTTTTTATTTAAATTACATTTTACAAATATCTTATGGTGTTGACAGAAATTCAAGACACAAGTTCAACCAACTGGGAAAAAAATAAAAAACTGAACATTTATGAAATGTATGATTATTGGTGCACCACACCTTTCTGATATTCAAAATATGGTATTTTAATTTATTCATAACCCTATTTTAAGCTGTTTGAAAAATAGCACACCTGTCGCTGGGCAAGGTTATTTCCAGGTCGAGGTCAGGTCAAAACATTTAATCATATAAAAACATTTTAGAGATATAACAAAGAATCCTAATTTATTGAGCTGCAAATCTCCATATTGGGGAAAATTACTTATTAATTACATTTTTTAAGCAAAATTATTTCTGCCAGACTTTACAATCTACGGCATTTGTAAAGTGACTGAGTATATAGAAAAGCGCTATATAAAATAAATGTATTATTATTACATTAATAATACTGCCCCACATTTTATATTTTACTGCCCCATTCTTTATCCTTATTTTAATTAAAATTAGTATTGATTACATATGCTTAATTTGCCTAAATTTTACAATGCACATATACCAACTTTTTCGGACAAAATTCCTTAAGGTACGATGTTTTATTTTAATATAAGTCACACATGGCATGAACGTGTTTCAAACCGGACTCAAATTCATGAGACACATGTGCAGCTGGGAAGCGGGCGGCCATTAAAGCGGCGTGATTTGTTTGCTGCCTAACGTAAATTTATATACAAAACAGAAAATGATTAAGGCTATTTTGATTTTTAACAACCATGGAAAACCACGACTTATCAGATTTTATCAGTATTTTGTAAGTCGTCTTATTAATCTCGTAATTATGCTCAATGTTGTCCTTAAAATGTAAAATGCAGTAGGAACCGCTTTAAAGCTACGACTAGACCCGTTTGTGATGCTTTTCGTTTTAGTCACTTCTATTTTCACGTTTTATTCATTCATTCATATAACTATTAAAGTGTTGTATTGGTCGCTTTTCTTTCTTCCTTCAAGGCTGAGGACATGCAGCAGCAAATAATCAGGGAAACATTTCATCTTGTGTCGAAGAGGGACGACAATGTGTGCAATTTTTTGGAAGGGGGAAGGTATTTTTATATAATCCTGCAGTGACACCCTGAGCTGCTAAGAGAGCCAAACCCTGATCGGAATACACGCATTAATGAATAATGACAGTGATAAATCACCGTAGTAGACTAATTTCCCTTTCCTAATAAATTTGTATGTGATAGGAGAATCCTGCATAACAGTACTTTCGCTTACCTCTGTAATTTATTTTGCAGGGTACTAAATAAAATAAAGTCCCCTTTTTGTTATTTATTACTACTATTGGTGTGCGTTAAGATAATGTGGATGTGGAAAACATAAAGAGTTCTTATTGCGTTAGTAACCACGTAACATTCTGTTGACAGTTTAATTGGTGGCTCTGACTACAAGCTGATCTACAGACATTATGCAACTCTTTACTTTGTATTTTGTGTGGATTCCTCTGAAAGTGAGCTGGGAATTTTGGATTTAATACAGGTAAGTCATACGAAATGTTGTGATGACTGTCACCGCTAGGTGGCGGTTTCGCGTCTTCAGTTGATGTCATCAGTGCCGTCCAATTGGCTTTTTTTTTTTTTTTTAAATACAGAACTAACGTAATTTAACTTTTTTTAATAGATATATTAAATAAACTTTAGTGTGTTTTCCCGTAATGTGTATTGGGGTCAGTCTGTATATATTTGTGTGTGTCTATGTACTTCTGCGAATGGCAAATAAATCATCATTTCGTTTCGTTTTGCATGTTATATTTTGCATAGTAAAACTATTGAGTTATTTCAGGTCAGAGTTTTTTTGCTTAAGCAAAGATTACTTGTACTTACAAAGTCATTTTAATATATTGGCAATAAACTTTTTATGTGAATGTCCTTACCTATGAGTCCTTTTAGATAACAAGGTGCAGCATATACTAATAATGTACATTTAAATTTTAATATGAAAATTTGATTTTTTTTTTTACTTTAGTAATCTAATAGTAAAGTATTGTGTTGCTTTGTGATATTTGAAGATGGTGATGTTAGATATAAAGTTCTATGTTTTAACCTCCTCCAAGTACCTTTACTTGTTTATTTTTTGTTTCTACAGGTTTTTGTGGAAACACTTGATAAATGCTTTGAAAATGTTTGTGAACTGGACCTAATTTTTCACATGGACAAGGTAAGACTAGCTGGAATAAAAGTTATTCCTATACGGAGTGTTACAATGTTTTGGTCGGTAGATACATGGTGGACTAGTGTCTCCAAATCATTAATGAATAGTTGATGCCCTCTCTGATGGACTGGTGCTTATTAGCTTACAATTTTTCCAGGTTCCGATGGCTTGAAAAAACTTAAAGTAAAGGTGCTCTTTGGAAATCTGTGAACGTGTGTGTGTTTCTGTGTGTGTGTACAGTATGTGTGTTTTGTTTTTTAATACACTGAGTCAAATATCTTGGAAGATTTTGAAAATAGAAAGTGAACTTTAGGCGCAACTGGAATTTAGATGATTAATTGGCTACAAGTTTGTCCTGAACCAGTAAACCATTACAGTAAACATCAGTTACTGTAGGAACACATAGTTTACATTTTATTCTCATTATTTAGATTACTTAATACTAAATGTAACCCCTTATGCACCTTAGATAAATATTTTTCTGCAGTATACAATTTAAAAAGAAAAAATGGAGGTTCTTTAAACAAAAATTGATGAATAACTGCTTTATAGAGGAAGTAACACCCATCCATCCATCCATTAACTTCCGCTTATCCGAGGTCGGGTCGCGGGGGCAGTAGCCTCAGCAGGGAAACCCAGACTTCCCTCTCCCCAGCCACTTCCTCTAGCTCCTCTGGGGGAATCCCGAGGCGTTCCCAGGCCAGCCGAGAGACATAGTCCCTCCAGCGTGTCCTGGGTCTTCCCCGGGGCCTCCTCCCAGTGGGACATGCCCGGAACACCTCACCAGGGAGGCGTCCAGGAGGCATCCTAAGCAGATGCCCGAGCCACCTCATCTGGCTCCTCTCAATGCGGAGGAGCAGCGACTCTACTCTGAGTCTCTCCCGAATGACTGAGCTCCTCACCCTATCTCTAAGGGAGAGCCCAGCCACCCTGCGGAGAAAGCTCATTTCGGCCGCTTGCACTCGCGATCTCGTTCTCGTGCACATATGGACACCCTTATGCTTGAACATGGTGTTCATTATGGACAATCCGTGACGGGCACAGAAGTCCAATAATAAAACACCACTCGGGTTCAGATCGGGGGGGCCGTTCCTCCCAATCACGCCCCTCCAGGTCTCACTGTCATTGCCCACGTGAGCATTGAAGTCCCCCAGCAGAACGAGAGAGTCCCCGGGAGGAGCGCTCTCCAACACCCCTTCCAAGGACTCCAAAAAGGGTGGGTAATCTGAACTGCCATTTGGCGCATAAGCGCAAACAACAGTCAGGACCCGTCCCCCCACCCGAAGGCGAAGGGAGGCTACCCTCTCGTCCACCGCGGTAAACCCCAATGTACAGGCGCCCAGCCAGGGGGCAATAAGTATGCCCACCCCAGCTCGGCGCCTCTCCCCGTGAGCAACTCCAGAGTGGAAGAGGGTCCAGCCCCCTTCGAGGAGACTGGTTCCAGAGCCCAGGCCGTGCGTCGAGGTGAGCCCGACTACATCTAGTCGGAACTTCACAGCCTCGCGCACCAGCTCAGGCTCCTTCCCCACCAGAGAGGTGACATTCCATGTCCCTAGAGCTAGCTTCTGTAGCCGAGGATCGGATCGCCAAGGTCCCCGCCTTCGGCCACTGCCCAACTCACATTGCACCCGACCCCTATGGCCAAGTAACACAATTATTATATATAAATACACACAGAGACTTAAAAAGCTAAGTTAAAAGATCATTCAGCCGTCTGGAAAGCCTTTGAAAGTTACTTCCTTAAAATAATTTAGTTATTTTATTGTCTATGTGATTTCAGCTATTTTTATTGCCTGACGTATTTCAGCTATTGCCAGAATTGTAGTGTTTTTATGGCCCGTTTCCAGTTAGAGTTATAGTCCTAAGAAAATGACTTTGCAGTTTTTATTTCACAATACCTCTGTCCTACATCAGCTGCATAAAATAACACTATAAGCAAAGGACACAGGCGTGGGCGCCTCCTCACAGGATGCGGTCGGAGGCTGCTGCTTGTGCCTCGAAGAGGCAGAGGACAGACTCCAGATGGCCACTGCGAATGTCTTATGCTGCCTCAAATGGGACGTCTTTGTTCCCCAGGACAGCTGCAGGGTCTCCTGTTACATCATCACACAGGCTTTGCACACTGTTAGTGCACAAGTAGTAAACAAGTGCAGCTTGATGTAGCCGGATGTGCTTAGTGGAAGCTCGTTAGTGGAGCAGTTTGTGTCTCTGTGGGTTAGGAGGCTGTGCCTGTGATGAGGTCGTCACTGGTTCATCTCCCAGGGTTGGCAGTGCGTCAGTGACAGTGACAGTGTCTCAGGCAGGTACTCCAGCTTCCTCCGGCAGTTCAAAGACATGCATTAAGGCTAATTGATGTCTCTGAATTGCCCATAGTGTGATTGTGTATGTGCCCAGCAATGGATGGTCATCCTGTCCAGGGTGCACCCCAGCCCTGCTCCTTGTTCTGCCACGGATAGGCCTTATGTGCCATTGTGACCCTGTTCAGGACATGTTAGGAATTTGGGTTTTTGGAGGCATGCACACAGTCTGCCTGTAATCAGCTCCGGCTTCAAACACTGCCCATCCCTGGTTAAAAGTGAATGCATACCTGTCCTGATTGATTGTGGCTGTAAAGGATCAAAGGCCTCTGTGATTACATCAGTTCTGTCTTTATTTCTGTGTATAAATAACTTTGCACTGATAATGTCACCTGTGAGTTTTCACACTGAGACATCAGTAAGCTGTGGCAATGATAAACAGGTTTCTAATAACTACTGCACCTGTTTCTTCCTTTGGCGTATTTACCAATTTACTGACTCTGACAGAGTGTTTGTGGAAGTAGAAACCGTATACTCACTTTCCTTTCTCTAAATTCTGCTTGGCACCAGGCATGACAGTAAATTTACCTGACGCGACTTAGGTAACATAAAGTTTCTTTTATTAAGTCAGGGTGCACTGGAGCTGACCTTAAAGAACCAGCGTATCCCCAACCCAAAGAAGCAAACCCCCAATCAAAGAAAATGCTCAAGTTTTATACATATGCAAGTCCCCTTAAAAGACTATCTTCTGCCACATTGGTGAAGACAGGGGCTCTTGTCTGTGTGCAGACCCTTGTGAATCCCTTATATGTCCCCATGTTAAACAATACTGTTCGATTAAATCAAACTACCCACATCTCATCGTATTTTTGGTCCATTAATCTGTTTCTGTTACAACACATTCATTATACCATATGATTCTTGAAATGGGTAAATATAGCCAATACAAAAGAACATAAACCTGTTTGTCTCCATTCAGTATTTATGGCTGCTTCCGATTATCTTCCTCAGCAGAACTGATCTGCCTTATGTAGTACGTTCCACTCTTTCAGCAGAAGAGGTTCCAATTATCCTCACAAACATACAGTTTCAGCTCCTGGTTTCAGGGTCGGCACAAGACAATGCACATTCACATTCTTTTTGCCTAAGGCATTGACAACAATCCCACTATGCACCTCCCCTCGGCCCTTCTAGAACATTCCTTCCACAGTTTTTAGTAAAGTTAAGCCGAAAACTTTTTTAGATCTTAAGCATCCTTAAACTCTCACCATGAATATACCCCTAGTTGTTGGAATGGCATTAGGTCAACATAACTAACTTACTAATCAACCAGCACACCCTATACTCTTCATATGTTCTCCCAGCATTTGTGATGAAGAAACCATTCCGACACCTTTCTTTGTCTAGTTTGTGGGCAGTGGTGGCTTGATGGTTAGGGAAGCGCACTTGTAATTGAAAGATTGCTGGTTCAAATCCCCAACCAGCAAGGTACCGTCCCCAAGCACTGCCCCCCGGGCGCTGAATTAGCTGCCCCCTGCTATGTCACGACGTCACATATGGCTCAAATGCAGAGGACACATTTCGTTCTTGCGCACTGTGTGCTGTGGTGTGTTGACAATGACCACTGATGACTAAATTCTAATTCTACTGCTTTCTGGGAATGTTGCTTATGAACACAGCAGGACATGTGTGTGAATATGCTTAAGGTGTATACATGACAACATATTAAACATTTTGCTGAATCACAGAACAAGGAGGTTCAGATGAGGTTCAGAATCCGAATGATGGTGTTGATTCTTCTCTCTCCTGATCCTCTGTGCCACCATTGGCAGCTGGTGACTGAGTGTGGGATGTAGGCCTGGTTTGTGTCTTCGTAGGTCCATTATATCCTGCAGGAGGTGGTGATGGGGGGGATGGTGCTGGAGACCAACATGAATGAGATAGTGGCCCAGGTGGACGTTCAGAACCGCATGGAAAAGTCAGAGGTGAGAGGTGCTTCTGGGTGGGGGCACTCGGGGCGGAGCCTTATTGGATGATCCTGTCCTGTTTTCCAGGCTGTGTCAGCCCTAAGCAACCTTAAATAATGAGTGCAGTGATAAACATTCTTACCTTTTCATTGCCATCAGGCCAACATGATAGGTTTTTCTCTTAACATTAGTCAAAATTTCAAAATTTGAGGTCTCATTTTTGTGAATCATTTCATCTCCTTTTGTTGTTTATTTCTGAGCCTAGAATCCCTCTTTCCCTGCATATATTACATCAAGTTTTTATGCATTTCTGTCACCAAACCTATGTTTCAAATCAGTGGTTTAGTCATTTTGATGAGTCATACAGTTACCATTAAGTACATTTAATCAGTTTTTACAGCTACTTTTTATGAACTTGTAAGTTACGCAGATAAGTTTAACCTGTTTTATAGAGCTGTATTCTTTGTATTCCTTGATTAAATAATGTTGTTGACCTGGCCCAAGGGTTTGGCCGCCGCAGGCGTCCTGAGATTTAAATCGGCAGCGTTTATAATCCCGGGATATGAGGGAGTATCTGGGACTGAGGAAGCCCGAGTGTCTGAAAGCACCCATTATTGATAACCAATAATCAAAATTTTCGGTTGGCATAATTTACCCTACGCTGCAACCCTCAACTGTGCACCTGCCTCTCGAAAAGTCTTAAGTCCCATGGTCATTGTCACTTCCCTGTTTGATAATCTGCAGTAAAACAGTATGTCAGCGACTGCTATGCTTAAGATGGCCAAACTGTTGTCCTTGCAGAAGATACGGTGGTTGACGCTTTTATGTTTTACCCTCTGGCAGAACATACTCTGTCAGAAGTGTTTGTTGATGCCATTGTTTGATTTTATCTTTATGGAAGTCAGTTTGGGGAAAATACTAATTGTGAAGTTGACTTGATGGAGTCTCTGCTACATTTATCGTATGCTTGTTGAAGAGAAAAGCGCGTAAGTTTGGGTGATCTCACTTTTTTACGGCTGCTTAGGGACTGATCACGGCCTCAGTCGAATCAGGAATGAAATCATCTTTCAACTTTCCTTTCCCTTCAAGCTGATTGACTGGAATTCATATTGACTGTCATTGACACGGGGGTGGGTGATCTTCCCAAACAAATCATTGCAATCTTTATAACACACAATGGAGATCCATGACCTGAATTGTTATCTCTGTTCTCAATTTTGAAATATATTGCCAAGAATACACTGACTCAAACAAGCCTAAGGACTTATCGATTAGCACCATTTAATAGACAATATGACAGTATTACATTAAGGACACTTTTTGAAAATGGTCATTAAATCCTGAGTTAAACTTTATTTTAAATATTAAACAAAGTTGTGTCAGATATTTCACATTTGTCATATTTCTTCCAGAAGTGCCAAACTGTTGCCTGACAGAGATAACTTTGTGAAATATCTGACTGTACATGCCTGATTTTTTTTTTTTTACGATGGTGCCTGATTGGTAGAACTTTGTTAATTTTACAGACTGCGTGTGCATGATCTCCACCAGCCCAGATTGGGATATTCAGTCTAGTATTCAGATTCTAGACTCTCAGTGTTCTGTCTGTTTAATAAAAATTCTCCATAGCTCCTGCACTTGCGTCTAGCTGTGTATTTAAGGGTCACGTTAGGTAGCCCAATCATGATGGGGAGACCATATATGCCCTTAACGACTGCCACTATGTATGCTGCAGCAAAGTCAGTAGATTATGCCAATACGACAGACATGTAGAGAAATGTTTTTTTTTTTTTGATTCCACTGATTTGGAGTGATGGAGTGGACCAGCTGTGGAACATGATCCAGGTCTATAAGATTCTAACAGGTCTGGGTGCTGTTCAGCCAAATGGCTATTTCAATATTAGTTTAAATACTAGAACTCGTGGCCATAAGTGGAAATTGGCAGAAGAACATTTTAAACTGAATTTGTAGTGGAGTATGGAATAGTCTTCCTGCTAGTGTAGCGGAAGCTTAAACCCTGGGTTCCTTTAAATCAGAGCTAGATAAGATTTTAACAACTCTGAGCTATTAGTTAAGTTCTCCCCAAATGAGCTTGATGGGCCGAATGGCCTCCTCTTGTTTATAAATTTCTTATGTATATATTACTAAAACGAAGGAAAAATACACCAAACTTAATATTTCAGTTCACAAAATAGCTTGTCGCTGGATAGCAGCAATTTAAAACGATGGAAATATAAACTAATATTTCCCATATGGTATACTTGGGTAATAGTGTTGATCCAGATATTGGAAACAGACGACCAGATTAAACACTTAAAATGACAAGCAAAGAAAACAGATTTTTTCAGTCAGCAGTCAGTTCTTGCTAAGCAATAAAGCTTTCCCTGCAGTTTGATGTATGGTACGGTTTGCTGTAAAATTGTGGGATGAACGGATCGGGCAGAAAATATAATGCGGTGCAGACGTGCAAGGTACAAATCGGGTAGGTGGTACGGATCGGGTCGTGACACGTTATTACTGGCCATCAAAGTTTTACATGAAGTTTGGAAGTATTAGCAAGAAGACATAAAAGATCCTGATCTCTATGATTTACATAAACAGTAGATTGGGGACATCTTTAAGATCGATTATGATATTAACTCATCAGATCGTACACCCATTGATACTGACTGACATTGCTTGACTCTGCTTTTGTGATTTCGATGGCCAGCCTGCTATTGCTCTATCTGTAGTGTCCAAAGACTAAATGTAATGAAATCTGTGAGTTTAGCACGTTCTTCTGTTGATTAAAATGCGTCTTCCTGGGCAAATCTCGGTTGCACCTGTTCAAAGGGCAGCAACGTTCCACTCCTCTGACTTAATTGCTTGGTTTCCATGTGATGCGTCTTATCAGAGGTGCTTGAGGTCAGGCTCTGAGGCCACAGTTGGCACAGAGCAGGTGATCTGCGGAAATTGAAACTTTCTGGTATCTCTTCAGTTTCACTATGAGTCTTAGACCTGGAATGCTGTAAGTGCAGGTTTTGAAATTGCTCCTCAGCGTTCCTCACACCTTTTTCTCTTTCTTTGTGCTTTTCTTCAGGGTGGCTTGTCTGCTGCCCCAGCACGGGCCGTGTCTGCAGTGAAGAACATGAACCTTCCAGAAATCCCTCGTAACATCAACATCGGCGATATCAACATCAAAGTTCCCAGCTTGTCCCCATTCTGAGGTCATTGCTGGAAAAATCCGTTTTGTTCTCATCTAATCTAATGTAACAAAGAATAGCAATAGTTCATTGGATATGTGGACAGTCCTTGTTTTTCGGTAGATGTCCTGTGGCGGTCACCCCTATAAAAGATCCTCTTCCAGTCTTGTCTTACTCCTGTGGCCGTGTCTGTTTCCAATCTGCGAAGGAAAGACGATTGGTGGAGTGTTATAATAGCAACCATTTCTGTCCATAAACCATAGAGACGGCTTGTTTTGTTTTACCCATCATCCTCATCATCTCTGTTCACAAGAAGAATGCAATGACTGTATTATTTCATCGGGAGGAAAAGACCACACTTGCTATGCAGTCTTTTCCTGTTACATGGTCTGTAGATTGAAAGCAATTTGTGCTTTACATACATTAACCTCGGTTGTTCTAGAGAATGCCTGTCCCTGCTTTCTCACAGTATGTTGCTTTGGATAGAAGTATCTGATAAATGCATGTATAATATGTAAATATAACCTGCTTCTGAATATGGATAAAAAAAAAAAACAGTAATATAAGGTCTGTTTGGTTTCAAGCAATGGAGCTGCGACTGATTGACTTCTGGGTCATTTTTTAACAGCGGCTTTACAGCTGTTTCATGTTTTTAAAGATGGGGTGCAGCTTCTCCATAAGAGCATGGATAAAAAGCTTTGATTGCGTCAGTGGAGCCCGAGATTTGGTCTTATTGGGAACACTTGCTGCATTTGTCTGAATGTTCATGCTGATGGTTGAAGCATGAGGTAGACGACTCTCAGTGCTTTGTCAGCTTGCTCTCGAGTGCTGGAGGAATGAGTCACTTGTATGTCTCTTTGGGCAAAAGTGTTTGCTGAATGATGGTAATGTAATCTTGCAGCAGTGCTGGTTATGTGGAGCAACTGTCCAGGGCTTTGACTCTAATACGGCTGTTTATTCCCTGTAAACACAACAGAATTCCAAATCAGCCATCCTCTCTCCATGTTGTTCTTGTTTTTACCATAATATACAAACATGCCTGCAGCTTGGGAACTTTTTGTGTGTCTGTATCTGCGTGTGAGTGATATACAGTCATGGAGAAAATTGCAAACTGCAGCCTGGTTCTTCCCTGCTTCTCATTAATGAAGGGCTTCTTCCTTGCTTTATGAGACTTCAGTCCTGCTTCTAGGAGCCTGATACACACTGTCCTAGCTGTGCACCTCACACCTGCACTTAATGGTTCCCATTCCTTTTGAACGTCACTTGATGTCATCCTACGATTCACGATTTCTCTGGCATTAGAAAGTTGCTTCTGCCTTCTAACTGGCTGGTTTCTGGTTGCTTGCAGTGTCTCCTGCTTCACCTTATTCTTGTGTACTGCTGTTATGGAAATTTTGAACCTGGAACAACCTGCTGCTCAGCATAGCCTTCTGCCAGCTGAACCACGATTAAACCAGGATGTAAAAATGCTGATTTGGTTAAAAATAGAGTGGTCTCTTCATTTTTTCCATGGCTGTATATGAGATACATAGGTCTGGATGAACTGTGTGACTCTGCAGCGGAAAATGGCTGTTTAGGCCCATGATTTGACAGCCTCTAATCTGGATGTAAATTGCCACATTCTTGCAGGGCACTGACTGCTGTTGTAAATGTTGTAACTGATAATTATGTTTTTAATTATAGTTTGTCATAGAGAACTTGACAAATTTCCCCTTGTTTTGTTGGACTATGGTCTGGAGACCAGGAGGAAGTCACCTTTGGCAACACGGAACGACAGCAGGAAATGAGCTTCAGTGGTTATATGAGCTCTAATCTGAGTGTCTGTAAATGACAAGATGAAGCCTTCGGTAGCACTTCCTTATACACGTTTGTTTGCGTCTCACTTTGCTGGATGGATGGTATTTGGTCCTTTCCTGCCCCGTTTGGTGGTTGCTATGGTTTCTTGGTTCCGACTTACTCTTGAGTTTCAGGTTTTTGTTTTTGTCTCCATTTGCTGTGTGTCGTCCACGTTTGTTTCATTTTCGTTTGAGTCCTACAGTCCCTCCACACATAGATAATTCTTAGTACATTTTGAGCTGGGCAACCCTGCCTGTCAGCATTCTGAGCAACCTCATGTTCCCAGTACGTTGTGACGTGCCTTGGGCTGTTTGTTGATTAACTAGTGTTAATCTTGAGTGTTTCACTACTCACGCTTTGCTTTGTCTGCTGTTTTAGTAATGCTCGGTCACCTCTAGTCGGGTAATGCTCGGTCACCTCTTGTGGCACCATTTGTCCGAACTGATCGTAAGTTTTCTTCTAAATACTTTGTGTTATTTATTTGATACTTAAAAACAAAAGTATACTATTTGTTTGTTTTCTTATTTGAATAGTTATTGTTTGTTTCTCTCTTGCCTCTTAAAGAATAAATTCTTTAAACTCGGTTTTTCCAAATGTGTGTTTTTTCTGCTGTTTCTCCCAACACCTTTTGCTTTTTATTGGTTTATATCCGGACCATCAGAATGACACTATTTCAGGCAAGTAGTGGTTACAGAGTAACAGAGATCAGGCCCCTCCAAGTTATTGTGACAGGCCTAATTGTGACAACTACTACATAATTGCTTGATAGTGATTTTTTTGAGCTGACTGCAATAATTTTGCATAATTGTTGGAATCATCTCCAATCATCTGTATGAAAATATCTGGATGAAACTGAAATGTCATATTTCTATCACTATTTCCATGTCATTTTCTTGAGCAGAAGTACCAGAAAAGGGCGAAGTGAAAACCAAAACCAAACACTGTCATATACAAGCAATCAAAGCAACAATAATCCAAATAACAATCCAAAACAATGAGCAGAGCTCTCGAGGTTCCGAGCTGTGGCCTTTACTTTGCACAAGCAGGAAACAGGAAGCAGCGCCGGAGATGGGAAGGGCGAGGTCAGAGAGGGCGGAGCCGAAGGGAGCAACCGGCGAATGGCGGTGAGGGCAGGGAGTCCGGAGAGGCTGTAGGCATCCTTTCAAAACTTACGGCACGTACCTTCCTTACAGCACATAACAGTATTGATCCAAAAACTGGAAACAGATCACTGGAGTTTTCAATGCTAATTAATAGCTCTTCTTTTTCAATAGTGTATGTATATTAAACAATGATTAGGGTAACTATAATGATCTTATAAAATGAACAAAAAAAAGACAATCCTCACCTAAAATTTCATGATTGTGACAGCCCTTGTTGCTTCAAAATTGGCCCGAACTTGAAGTTGCGCATATTGTACACTATATTGCCAAAAGTATTTGGGACACCCCTCCAAATCATCGAATTCAGGTGTTCCAATCACTTCCATAGCCAGAGGTATATAAAATCAAGCACCCAGGCATGCAGACTGCTTCTACATACAGCCTCAAAACACTGACGTACATACAAGGTCATGGTCAACAGCTTTTGACTGATGTGAAAAAACGCAGAAAATCAAACTTGTTCCGAAAACTTTTATGACAGACGACTCAATTGACTCAATGTGAGGTTGTATTTATTTTTAAAAGTGTGACAATTTGGGATGAAAAATGTGGTGTGGAATTGCCTTTGGTCAAAGAAGAAACCAAGAAGCCAATGGGAACTGAAGGAGCTGGGGAGGGTCATGGCCTCCTCTGATGGAAGGGGCCATTAATGTGACAAATATCACCTGCATATTCCACAAAGCTGGCCTTAGTGGAAGAGTAATGAGAGGAACTGGTGAAAAAAACCACATGCAGTGCCATTCGGGGTTTGCTAATAAGCATGAGAGATGTGGAAAATGCTTCTGTGGTCGTATGAGACCTTGACACATAATACTATGTGTGCTGGAAAGGCAACAGTGCTTATGACTCTAAGGACACCATCCCCATAGAGCAGGGTTCTTCAACTCTGGACCTCGATTCCAAATCCAGGCCTTGTTTTCAGTTCTCCCAGGCAGTTGTTTAATAATTACTGATTCTGATTAGTCAGAGGCTTCACACCTGACTGACAGGTAAAGGAAGGCTGGAAAACCAGCAGTGCTCGGACCTCGAGGACCGTGAGTTGAATAACCCTGCCATAGAGCAATGTGAGAGTAGCCTCATGTTTTGTCTTTCATTGACAGGAATAGGGGGACTGGTCAGAACTGAAGGCAAGCTGGATGGAGTCAAATGTAAAGTAAGTCTAGAGGAAAACCTATTTTAGTCTGCAGGACACCTCCCAGCAAGACAATGGCCTTAAACACACAACCAAAGCTACACTATAGAGGTTTAAAACCAAACACATGTATATCAGGATTGGCCCAATCAAAGCCCAGAACTCAATTGGATTCAGGACCTGAGGCAAGAAAATGGCTGTTCACCAGCAGTCCTAATCCAGTCTGACAGAGCTTGGGCTATTTTCCCAAGATGAATGGGCAAACATCGCAGGATTTGCAGAGCTGAGACTTATCCTAAAATAATTGAAGCTGCAATTCTAACCAAAGGTGATTTGGGGAGGCAAGATGCCACCAACAGATATCTGTCTTGCTTAACTTTTGTTTCATAAATTACTCACTGTTAAATATGATTAAAAATTGTTATGTATTTGTTACAGTTATAAAGAATTTAATATACACTCAAAGGGTCCCTTCAAAAGGCCCTTTTTCAATTTCTATGACTCCTTACAAGAACCCCTTGATAATCCTTAACATTAGCATCATAAATACTCAATGGCAGTGAGGCAATTTTTTTTTTCTTCCCCCACATTCCCTCTCCTTTTTTTATCTTTCTCTCTTTTACTGTAAATTATTTGTTTTATTTAGGAAATGATTTATTTTAGTAATACTATTGTTATTTCCTCTCTGTGGGTGGGATATGTCTGGGTGGGAAAGGGGTATTATTGTAAAATGCTTCAATGTTTAGATTTCCTGTGGACTACAGTAATTGTTCAGATCTGCTAAGATGCACATTTGGCTCTTTTACAAGGGGGGTGAATACTTATCCAAGGTACCTTAAAGTGCAGGTCCAGGAAAGAACATACGGTCCTTCGCTGTGTGAAGAACAGTATGATTGCAGAACACAGAGACTTGGAGTCCTGCGACCAAGCTGTCTTTACATTTTGTGCCTTAGCCCGTCTTCCTTTACTCGCAGCTTTACCAGGGAGCCTGTGTCACCATGCTGTTCTCCACTTGGCTTAGCGCTGCAATTTGATAAATGTTGACTAGATACTCCTCCTACTCTCTCTACTTTGAGTAAATGGGTTTTTTTTTGTTTATAAAAGCCTTAAGTTGAGGGAGCCTGTTCTCCCCTACCAGTACCCTTCTGTCCCGGACGTACACCATTAAAGAATATATTATGGAATCACTTGGTATGTCATCATTATTTTTCTTTTTTGGGGGCTGGAATAAAGAGGGAAACACAAATCCTCTGTAATTGTGATGCTTAGCTTTTAATAGTCTTTAATTACATCAATACTTTGCTTTCATAAATATAGGGAAAGCGGTTTACAATCGCTGTACATTACATGGCTGTCAGATATTTTAAGACTGAAGTGTACTTTTAGCCTGGATGATCCCTATGAAGAGTAAATCTGGTGGTGTAAATCTGTCAATTTCCTGTTAGAGTAAAATATTTTGGTTATATGGTGCTGTAATTTCACACCTGCAGGTATGCAGACTGAATTCCTGCCCCCAACACTCTTTTGTGTGTGTGTGTGTGGTCTTGTATATATTACATTGTAGAGATCACATATCCCCACAATGTGATAAAAAAAACTTTTGACATTGTGGGAACAGCTTTTTATTCCCCACAAGGGGAAACTCGGTTTTATAAAAATCTGTGAATACATTAAAAAAAAAATTCTGGTGGATTTTTGTACACCGAAACAGACGCCTAGAGATACTGTATGTGTGGGCAGTGAAGAGGATCGAGGTCGTTATAAAAGCTTGTCAGGTATTTAAGGTGTCAGCAATGACAGACGGTGCCCTTGGCTGAGGACATGCACTGATGGTCCCTGACAATGATTGAACATCACCAGGTCCCTAGAAAATCACACAGAAGGAGTGGCAGCCTCATTCCAATTTCTGTTTTTATTTTTTTAATTATTGTTATTTTCTTTTTAGCTTTAGCACAATTTTTCAGAATGGTCTGCTGAAATTTACTGGTGGGTTACTTTCTGAAACATCTTGCGGTGTTTACGTGCTGCTCATTCCCTGTTTCTTTGTAGTGTCTGTTTTCCTTCCGGCTGGTACAGTTAGACATTTGTGATGATTAACTATTCTTAGCACCAAAGGCTGCAGTAACTTATGCAGGATGTTGAGACATCGGATCACTGGAAAACAAAGGAAGTTAATGTGCAGTGATATTGGAACGTCTCTGAAATCTTTAATTGCTCCATAGTTATGAGCATATCAAAGGTTAAAAGATAAGCCTTGTGAAGTTTTTACTGACCATGAATTCATGGTCTGGTATCATGTGATTTTGCATCATTATCAACACTAATAATAACCCTAATAACACTAATAATAAACACCATGTTCAGGCATAAGGGTGTTCGTATGTGCACTTGGCACCAGGACACCCTAGGCCGCAGTTCGATGATGGACTTTGTAGTCCTGTCATCGGACTTGCAGCCGCATGTCTTGGACACTCGGGTGAAGAGAGGGGCGGAGCTGTCAACTGATCACTACCTGGTGGTGGGTTGGTTCTGCTGGTGGTGGAGGAAGCCGGCCAGGCCTGGCAGGCCCAAGCGTATAGTGCGGGTCTGCTGGGAACGTCTGGCGGAATCCCCTGTCAGGAGGAGTTTCAACTCCTACCTCCGGCAGAACTTCTCCCATGTCCCGGGGGAGGCGGGGGACAGTGAGTCCGAATGGGCCATGTTCCGCGCCTCCATTGTGGAGGCGGCTGACTGGAGCTGTGGCCGTAAAGTAGTCGGTGCCTATCGTGGCGGCAATCCCCGAACCCGCTGGTGGACACCAGTGGTGAGGGATGCCTTCAAGCTGAAGAAGGAGTCCTATCGGGCCTTTTTAGCCTGTGGGACTCCAGAGGCAGCTGACAGGTACCGGCAGGCCAAGCGGGGTGCGGCTTCGGCGGTCGCTGAGGCAAAAACTCGGGTTTGGGAGGAGTTTGGCGAGGCCATGGAAAATGACTTCCGGACGTCGGGGCGATTCTGGTCCACCATTCGGCGGCTTCGGGCGGGAAAGCGGTGCAACATCAACACTGTTTATGGTGGGGATGGGGTGCTGCTGACCTCAACTCGGGACGTTTTGGGTCGGTGGAGGGAGTACTTCGAAGACCTCCTCAATCCCACCGACACGCCTTCCAATGTGGAAGCAGAGTATGGGGACTTGGGTGTGGACTCCCCTATCTCTGGGGCGGAGGTCGCTGAGGTGGTTAAAAAACTTCTCAGTGGCCGAGCCCCGGGGGTGGATGAGATCCTGAGTTCCTTAAGGCTCTGGATGCTGTGGGGCTGTCCTGGCTGACACGCATCTGCAGCATCGCGTGGACATCGGGGGCAGTGCCTCTGCACTGGCAGACCGGGGTGGTGGTCCCCCTCTTTAAGAAGGGGGACCAGAGGGTGTGCTCCAACTATAGGGGGATCACACTCCTCAGCCTCCCTGGTAAGGTCTATTCGGGGGTTCTGGAGAGGAGGGTCCGCCGGATTGTCGAACCTCGGATTCAGGAGGAGCAGTGTGGTTTTCGCCCCGGCCGTGGAACAGTGGACCAGCTCTATGCTCTCCGCAGGGTTCTGGAGGGTTCATGGGAGTTTGCCCAACCAGTCTACATGTGTTTTGTGGACTTGGAGAAGGCATTCGACCGTGTCCCTCGGAGAGTCCTGTGGGGGGTGCTCCGGGAGTATGGGGTGCCGGGCTTCCTTTTAAGGGCTGTTCGGTCCCTGTATGACCGGTGCCAGAACTTGGTCCCCATGGGCGGCAATAAGTCAGACTTGTTTCCGGTGAGAAACTGTCGTGGTGAATTGGTGTCCATGATGTGTCCCACATCCTGCTTTATACAGCATATACAGAATCAGAATTATTATAACCCTGTTTTGAGTACAGACGCTCCTCTACTTGTGAATGAGATACGTTCCGAACAGCTGTTTGTAACGTGAAATATTCGTAAGTTGTTGTTCAATATCATTTTAAAACTATACGCAAGTATAAAGAGCTAGTATGCTGGGAGTACGCACGCTACGCTGCTGCGCGGCGGGAGTAGTGGCCAGATATCGTACTAGGCGGAATCGGCGCGCAGAAAAAAAAAATTGATGTTGCGGACAGGAAATGGGAGCCCAATGAACACAATTTGGACTTACAGTCCTCTTTGTTCGTATGTCTGAAAGTTCATAAGTTGAAAGTTCGTAAGTAGAGGAGCATCTGTATATCCACGTGAATGCTAACTGCTAAATACTGTAACTAAGCAGAAAATAATGGTGGGATAAACTTATAATTAAGAATGGCAGTAATCTATTTATCTGGTTTTAGCAGCTGCTCATGCAGATTAAATCTTCTGTTATCTGTGATGGTCTGACACCGGTGATCGAGAAACGGCAATAATTCCACACTGATGGTGATAAATTGAAGCACACTTTGAGATTACATGATATGAAGTTGTAAAGCTTGACTTTATTGTTGCAATTGCACATGAAGTTCCCTTGTCACATTTTAAATGCCTTGGACTTTGATGTCTGTGCCATAGTTTCCAGTCAATGGATTATCCATCTATAATTCAGACAACTACCTTGTAGATACATTTTTCCAGTAAAAGAATACATATTGGCTTGTGTCTCGTCTAGCTGTCGGCTGGGTTTCTAAGGGGGTCTTAGTCACATGATAAGTGTACAGTTCCTCCATGTTTGTTTTGACAACTCACAAATTCAGCCTGTCAAGTGAAAGGTGCCCTATTTCATATGGAACAAAAACCAGCATATTTGACCCCACAGCACACGTCCTACATGTCCTGAATCTCATTGTACTGGAAAAAACTGATTAGTCAAAGTCAAAGAGTCTTTTGTTTTCAGCTTTAGATATTTGATGCCTGGAGTCACACATTAAGCTGAAGTACGTTCTTGTCGTACTGCAGATGAGAAGCAATAAATAAATAGAATACTAAGAGATATAAACATAATATTGACATGACATGGACATTAAGACAGAGACAAAGAGATACAGTTAGCCACCTGATTGGTTGGGAAAGACTTCAAGTTTCAAGTTTTATTTGTTATGGTACACAATCATACATAATATTACTTTGTAGTGAAATAGTTTTCTGCCTCCTTTGTGGATTGTTGTGAAGGAAGTATGCAATACAAAGGAGTTGTTAGCTGTGGATTGTCCTCATTAGGGACGCGGAAGGCCTGAGGGTGGAAGCTGTTCCTCATTCTGTCCCTTCTGGCCTTCAGGCTGCAGAAGCGACTGCCTGACCACAGCAGTGCGAGGAGGCCATTGCGGGGGTGGGAGGGGTCTTTTATTAGTTTCCTGTGCATGGCTGGCAGGTGCGGTCGGTGACCCCCCTGCCAGCCGCTCCCAAATGCGTTAGCCCTTCTGAGGTTTTGTTCCGTTTCACTAATTATTAAACACTTGATTGAAGACTGTCATCATTGAATCTCCTTTCCTCAAGAATGGTATATAATGGCACTTATTTGACACTACAAGGTGAAAGAAAGCTCTAATATCTTTCTGTAAAAAAACGTTTTGTGCTATGAAATAGAACGACCTAGGGGCTTGTGTTTATAAAGATATTTTGTTACATTAGGTCCTCATTGAGTAAGATGTTGGTCTTAGAACGATTTCCAATGTACTGATTTGTGGTTTTGCATCTGGACTTGGAATGCAGTATGTGTGTGTGTGTGTGTGTTTTTTTTCAGCAACGCCAATCCTTACTGTCACATTGAAAAGTGATAAACATTGTTTGGCCTTCGACCATCACTAATCTATATTAAGAAATTAACTATTAACCCTGGTGGGAGGAGAGTCCAGAGACAGTGTAAATAAAAAGCCTCAACACAAACCATACTGTCCCTCTTGCTCAGTACCGTGAACGATATCGAACATGGGGAAAGGGGGGTTCTACATCAGCAAGGCTGTGGGGGTGGTGGCTATTCTTCTGGGAGCAGCAGCTGTGGCCACCATCATTGCCTTATCGGTCGTCTACGCTGAGGAGAAATCAAAGAATGAGGTGAAGCCCACTGAAGGCAAACCGGAGCCAAGTCCCACCACTACCAAGGCCACCACAGCTGCGCCCACCACCGCAGCGCCCACCACCGCAGCACCCACCTCAGCTGCACCATCAAATGAACCATGGGACAAATACAGGCTACCAGATACCCTAATGCCTGAGTACTACAACATTACTCTTTGGCCTCGACTTCAACGAAACGAATCTGGCATTTTCATCTTCACAGGCAAATCCTTTGTTGTCTTCAAATGCTTGCAGGCCACTAACCTAATCCTGATACACTCCAATAAGTTGAACTATACAAAATTTGATGAACACCATGCGACTCTGACTGGAATCGATGACCCAAATCCACCGACAATTAACACCACCTGGTTAAAATTGGAGACACAGTTCCTTGTGATCCAGCTCAAAGGCAATCTTCTTCATGGAAAGTCTTACCGGTTGGACACGGAATTTGTAGGAGAGCTGGCTGATGACCTTGGGGGTTTCTACAGGAGTGAAT